GAACTGTAGGATGTGATTGTGTCTCTGCCAGCCGACTCGATGGACCCCCGGTTATAAATCCGTTTCAATAATTCTTTCAAGAATCATGCTGGATTTAGCATTTCAAAGATACATGTAGACATCCATAAAGTATACTCAGATACAGCATTCCTCAGTGATTCCCAATGGAGAATCAATCATTTCTTGGAACCTCCTTTCAAAATTCTGAAGCATTTCTCCACTATGCCATTTTCTTTTTTTTAATGTATAGATTTTATTAGTTTCATAGAAAGATACTACAGAAAAACGAAAAGACAAGACGTAAGAAACAGTCCACTATGCCATTTTCATTAGAGGTGGTGGCTGGAGAGCTCCTGGGATTACAACTGGTCTCTAGGTGACAGAGACTAGGTCACCTGGAGAAAATGGCTGCTCTGGAAGGTGGACTCTATGGTATTAGGTCCCCTTGAAGCCCCTCCCCTCCCCAAACCCTTCCCTCCTCAGACTCCACCCCCAAAATCTCCAGGTGTTTCCCAACCTGGAACTGGCAAGTTGTGGCAACCCTATCCTAGTGTGTTTCTACACCATTTAATTTGTTGTGTTTCAGGTTTGTTTCTGCTCTGTTTTTAGATTTCTGTTTGATTTCTGTAGTCCAAATGCTCTTGCACTGTTCATTGGATGTCCCATCCTGTTGATTGTACTTCACATAAACTGTGTTATTTGTCTTGAGTCTCAGCAAGAAAGGCAAAGTATAAACAACATAGATTTAAAAAATTTTTAAAAAAATACTTGGTAAAATCAATTCATCCTCTGATCACATCCGGATTAGATTACTGTAATGTGCTTTACATGGGGCTGCCTTCCAAAACTATTCAGACACTTCCCTTGGTCCAAAACGCAGGAGACATTTATTATTTGGAATGGAGACAGGCATTGGATCACCCCTGTGTTGAAAGATCTGCAACCGGCTCCCCCCTCCCCCATTTGTGGACACAACCAAAGCTGCTCATTCTTACCTTTAAGGCCCTAAAAGACACGAGGTCGGGATACTTGATGGACTCCTGTACCTATATTGGCACCTGGGGTTTTGGGCACTGTGTGACACAGAGTGTTGGACTGGATGGGCCATTGGCCTGATCCAACATTGGCTTCTCTTGTGTTCTTATGTTCTTTTAATATATATTTTTTAGTATTTTTGTGTTTGTGTGTGTGTGTGCTTATGTGCCTGGAAGTCATGGTGACTTCTGGTGACCCCTACTGGTGCTTGGATGTTTTCAGAGAGGTGGCTTGCTATTACCTGCCACTGCATCCCGAGCCCTGGTATTCTTTGGAGGTCTCCCTTCCAAGTACTTGCCAGACTCAGCCCGAAATAAGGCTTGCCTGAGCTATCCAGGTCAGGGCATGTTCTTATGTTCTTATTGTCTAGCCTGCCAGTTAAGATCCAAGCTCTGTTCTCTGTGCCCCTTGCTTGCAGAGGGTGAAGGAGGTGGTGACAAGAGACAGGGCTTTTTTAGTGGTGGCACCTCACCTGGAATGCCTTCCACCCTGATGCTCACCTGGCGTTGCCTAGCCTCCTGTCATTTAGATACCAAGCCAAAAATATTTCTTTTTATGCAGGCTTGGAATTAAGGAGTTTTATCTTTTTAAGCTGTTTTATGGTCTGCTTCTTTGGCCTGAGAACTGTGCTATCCGTATCATTTTAGGTTGTTCGAAGTTTGCTTTATGCTCTTCTTTTAATGCCCTGGCTTGTTTTTAATGGCTCACTTGGTTTTATTTTTTTCCCCCTTATAAACCTCAAGTGGCATCTAAGTTTTCCGAATAATAAATAAATTTCCCTTTTGTGTGTTCCCTCTACTCAGGGGACCTCTGCTGTTCCCTTTCCTTTCTGGGCAGCTGCCCAGCTCTGTAGGGGTGAAAATGTGTGGCGCATTGGGTGATGGAATAGCCCAGGCAACCCCAGTCTCATCAGATCTCCGGAAGCTAAGCAGGGTTGACTCTGGCAAGTACTTGGATGGGAGACCTCCTTGGAATACCAGAGCCGGGAGGCAGGGGCAGGCTTTGTTCAGCCACCTCTCTGAATATCCTCCAGGCCCCAGTAGGGGTCAGTCACCATAGGTCACCATGACTTCCAGGTGCACACACACTCACACGCACATATGAAAAATACAAAATCATATTTTTAAAAAGGACAAGAGCTGCTATTAAACTCAGTGTACTGCAGAGTTGCTCTGCCCCAGCAGCCCTAGTCAGGGACTGGAGTAATTAACACGTGGAATTCACTGCTGCAGGAAGCGGTGGCGGCAACAAGCATAGACAGCTTCAAGAGGAGACTGGATAAACATATGGGGTAGAGGTCTGTCTGTGGCTATTAGCCACATCTCTAGCCCCAGCTCTTGCCAGACTAGCAGTTCGAAAGCAAGAAATTGCAAGTAGATAAATAGGTACTGCTTTGGTGGGAAGGTAACAGCATTCTGTGCGCCTCCGTGTCTAGTCATGCTGCCTACATGACCATGGAAACGTTTCGGACAGCTCTGGCTCTTTGGCTTGGAAACCGAGATGAGCACCGCATCCCTAGAGTCGGATTCGACTGGCTTTCGAGCCAGGGAAACCTTTATAGGTGGAACACTCTTTCTGGGGCAGTGATGCTCTGTATTCTTGGTGCTTGGGGGGCAACAGTGGGAGGTCTTCTGGAGTTCTGACCCTACTGGTGGACCTCCTGATGGCCCCTGGGTTTCGGCCACTGTGTGACACAGACTGTAGGACTGGATAAGCCGTTGGCCTGATCCATCATGGCTTCTCTTACGCTCTTATGACTGTGACAAAAAAGGGGGCACACACTAGAGAAAAGACCCTTTCTAAATTAGAGTGAAGGATTGCACCTTTCCTAGCAGATGTGCCATGTTCTTGTGTCCCTTGTTGACGGACTGACTGATTTACTTCATTTATTCCCTTCCTTTCTGCTGAGTGGGAACCCAAAGCAGCTTACATCGTTCTCCTTTCCTTCATTTTACCCTCACAACAGTCTTGTGAGGTAGGTTAGGTTGAGAGGCTGTGACTGGGCCAAGCTTCCATGGCAGACTGGGGGATTCAGCCTGGGTCTCCCAGTTCTTAGTCCAGTGCTCTAACCACTGCACCAAACTGGATCCTATCCATGAAATATAGTTCTAAGAACAGGAACTCAGGACTTGTACCTGAGACCACAGCTGCTGCTGCTACTTCAAATAGATGGTATTGATCTAAAACCAATGGACCAATGATCTGACTGGGCACCAAGCTGTTTCATCGGTTGCCTCTAACAGCATCTGAAAATGTTGGAAAGAAGTGGGTGAAATGTTTACTGGTGCGGAAATGGGGCACACTTACGAAAACTCTGCTCTTAAAAGCGAAAGTCCACTATTGAAAGCTGCCAGACCTATGTGGCAGTGGTATAGTTCAGATTCGAACACATATTTCTTCAAAACCTAGAGTCTCACCCCCACCCCCTTTGGAGAGTGAGTTATAGCAATTTTACCTAATCAGATATTGCTCTTGAGTGCACCTAAAGCTTGTGCCTCTGTAGAACTGCCATAGCCCGAGGGTAGAGTTGCCAACCTCCAGGTAGTGTAAACCAAAAATAAGACACACCGTGCTAACTTACGCCACAATTTCTCTATTGTTATATCATAGACTTGGAGTATAGCTTAACTAAACATAGAGATACTTGTATATACATCCAATGCATAACTGTCTTGGGTATATAACAGAGTGTTTCAAATACATAAAGACAATTGAGCAGAACTTATGGGATTCTTTCATCCGAAGATGCCTCGTGGCTTGACTTCAGGTAGGGCTGCAAGTTCTTTGAGAATCAAATCTCAGCTGGCTGACGCATTTCGAAAATCTTCTGTGTCAAAGCCAGTATGAAAACTACAAACATAATGATATCATAGGAATACATTTACATCTACATTCAAGTTAAATCCCCAGACTCAGCAAATCCAAAGCTTACACAGCCTGTGTTCTTCCAAAGAGTCACCCACCCAACTTTCACGGCTACAGCCTGCAGACAGTGGGATCTGACTCCTGGCGGGTGTCTTTCAGATGTTAAAGACCGCACATGCTGTCGTGGCTGGAGATCTCCTGGGATTATAACTGATCTCCAGCCTCCAGGTGACAGAGATCAGCGCACCTGGAGACACTTTGAATGGTGGACTCTATGGCCTCATACCCCATCAAAGTCCCTCCTCTCCCCAAACCCCGCCCTCCTCAGGCTCCACCCCCCAAATCTCCAGGTATTACCTAACGGAGCTGGCAAGCTTGTGGGGGGGGGCGGGGACAACATGTGTCCATTTAGAAGGGAAAGGTCTTACACAGGGTGAGGAGTTGTGACTGGGGCTGCCAGCTCTGGGTGGGAAATATCTGGGGATTGGGGTGGTGGTGGAGCCTGGGGAGGACAAAGTTTGGGGAGGGGAGGGGCCTCAACAGTGTACAATGCCGTACAGCCCACCCTCCAAAGCAGCTATTTTCTCCAGGGGAACTAATCTGTCATCTGGAGATGAATTCTAATCGAGAGAGATCTCCCACCGGGAGGTTGGCAACCCTCATTGTCCCCCCCATCTCTTTTTCTCATCTGGGCTGCCTTTGGTCTATTTAGAAGTTCTTTCTCAAGGACTTTTCTGGGGGCAGAGAGCTGATGGATCAGCCCGGCTCCCTTATCTCCAGTGCGAAGCTGTCACTGGCTGCGGATTTGATTGCCTTCTTTAATTATCTTAATTTGGATATATTAATAAACCCAACAGCACAAGACACTCTGGATTAGAGAACAGAGGCATCTTAAAAGGGTGACTTTGCTGTAGGGGAGAGGAATGGAAACAAACAAAACCTGGGCTTGCAGGGGGCCGTTACTCAGACAGACAGACACCCACTTCTGCCGTCGCCCCCCATCTCCTGTTGTTAAACTGACACTCTCTCTCTCTCTCTCTCTCTCTCTCTCTCTCTCTCTCTCTCTCTCTCTCTGCCCCTTTGCCAATGGATCTCCCTAGAAATCTGCTGGACATGGACACTTTCTCCAAGTCTGATCCGGGTAAGTGTGTCGTGGTGACAAACACAGGGCCAAGGGGGCACACTCTTAAGCGGAGGGAGATGGCTGCAGGGAGGTTAAGAGGGCAAAAGCCCTGGGGCTGCTTTGACTACTGCTGTCTCAGCAGCTGGCCTCGGAAGACAGGCAGATCTTCTTTCTGGTCCAGCTCCTTCCATAGGGTTGCCAGCCCCCCCCCCCACCACTGGCAGGGGATTGGGGGGGGAATGGGATTGCGAGATCCAGCTTGGGAAACTCCTGGAGATTTGGGGATGGATCGTGGGGAGGACAGGGACCTCAGTGGGGTACAGTGGTCATAGAGTCCACCCCCCAAAGCAGCCATTCTCTCCAGGGGAACTGAGCTGTAGTTCAGGGGGATCCCCAGGTCCCACCTGGAATCTGCCATCCCTAGATGGGTCCTGTAGCTTAGTTGTACAACATCTGCTTTGCATACAGAAGTCTACAGGTTAAATCCTTGCCATTTCCAGTTAGAAGAAGGATCAGATAGTAAATTGTGTGAAAGACCTCTGTCTGAGACTCCGCTGAGTTGCTGCCAGTCAGAGTAGGCAATACTGACCTTGATAGACCACAGGTTTGCCTCAGCCCTGGCCTTAACTGGAAATCCCAGGGATTGAACCAGGAACTATGCAGAGCAAATGCTCTGCCACCAACCCAGTGCCCTCCCCCCCACCCCCGTCCCTAAGGAATTGCTGGAAGCAAAAAAGTTTGAAAAACCACTACGCTGTGGCATTAGAAAGGGCCACTATGTAGAAAATGACAAGTCATTCCAAGAATGTGGGGGAATAAACAGAGTCAAGAAGCTCCCGAAGAAAAGATGGAAACTTGTGAGTGCCAAGAGACAGTGTCTGCACCACAAATGTATTTTGTTTCCTCTTGGCGGAATGGTCGTGACCTCTCTCAGAGGAGTCCCGGAAACTATTGTCTGAGACGAGTGCTGAGAAGTCGGCCCCTGCGGCTGCATACTTATGTCCACTTGCTTGGGAGGGGTCACCGAAACACAAATGGGGCTGGCTTGCTTCCAAGTCAGGCTGCCATCACGCTTGGGAGAAAGCAGAGTCGCTCCCTCCAGCTTTTCAAACCTGGGGTGCTATTCCCCTCCACGCCGCACAGAGCTTCAGCTGCCCGTTTCCGCAGACTGAGCGTCTCTTTTTCTCCAGGCCAGTTGGCAACCCTGTGGAGGCAACTCCCAGCAGGAGTTCCTCGGAGCTAAACCACTGGTGCTTTGGGTGGCGGGAAGTGCCATCGGGTCACAGCTGACCTATGCAACCCCACAATGATTCCAGGCAAGAGACGGACAGAGGTGATTTGCCGCTGCCGGTGTAGCCACCCTGGACTTCCTTGGTGGTCTCCCCTCCAAATACTGACCAGGGCTCACCCTGCTTAGCTCCCAAGGTCTGGCGAGATCCAGCTAGCCTGGGCCATCCAGGTCAGGGTTCTGGTGCTTTTTAGAGGGCATTACAGATAGGGTCATTGATGGATTCATTCCAGCTTTGGGTGACCCGGCAGCACTGATGTTTTTGCCGTCTCTCGTCCCCCCCCCCCCCCCGGGAACTGTTATGTACATTGGTTTTTAATCATCTGATTGTTTTAGGTCCAAATAGCACATAAACACCAAAGTTCTGTGATTCCTGATGTGTCATTTGGCTGCGAGGAGGGGAAATTAGCTCTTCTCCCTGTGCTGGTTCCTTGATTAGAAATGGTCCCTCGGGTTGCTTTAACGTTCAGTGGGGAGGGGAAGGCAATTTGAGTGCCTGTCTTTTCCCCTGTTGGGGTTTAAAGCACCCCAGGGGAGCATTTTAAACCAGCAAAAGGCTACATGTGGGGAGAGAAGAGTTAACACACACACACACACACACACACACACTTCCCCAAAACTGTGGCCCTGATCCCTATTGGCTTCCACCACTGCTCCTTTTAGAGCCAGATGACACACCTGGAGTTCCAATCATGGGACCTCGCTTAAAGACCGGCTCTTCTTGCGCTCTGCTCCCTGTGCCTTGCTTTGAAAGCAGAGAGAGCTTGAAGGTCAGAAATCTTCAAAACAGGTATAAATAACTGGGATATTCTGAGAGACATTTCTGCCGAGGAGGCCTCAGATAGCAACTCCAGGATTAATTCCCGCTGAAGCGAACGTCTGTGGGAAGGCGTGCATCGGTTTGGTACACCTGTACTGCACATTTCTTGGGAAATAAGCCACATTCAGTTCAGTGAGATTTACTCTTGAGTAAACAGGCATAACTGGGAGAAGCCTGTCAACGATGAGACGGCAGAAAGCAAAAAGCAGGCGAGAAGGTTTTTTAAAGTGTTCTGAGGAATTAGAGGCCAGTGTAGCATATGGAGAGATCTCTTTCTGCTCGGAACAGATTTCGGCCCCCAGAGACTGAGTTCCGATACAAACACAATAGTGGCATCTTCCCGGGCCCCTCTGATGAATGACCAAGCGGTGGATGCAATGGCAGGGAGCCACTGCCTTTGTGCTCACACGCCGAGCCCCAGAGCACTGGACCACCTCTTTTCCATGGTTTCCGTCACTCTCGCTAGGCTCACAATAGCTGCCAATAACCTGTCCGGGTGATTGCCAGTTTTTGTTCTTTACGAAACTTTCAGACAGCGCAATAAATGCCCCAAGGAGCAATGGCTGCTGGAATTATAAAGAGACACTGAGATCTTGGCAAGGTTAACAGCATCCAGGAATGTCAAAGAAGGCAAATGTAAAAACTGGAAAAAATAGCTTCCTGTTCTTAACTATCAGATGTTACAAGTTCAAAAATAATTACATCAGTGCCTCCCAACTCGAGACTTGAGAGCCAGTGTGGTGTAGTGTTTAAGAGTGGCAGGCTATAATCTGGAGAACCAGGTTTGATTCCCCACTCCTCCATGTGCAGCCTGCAGGGTGACCTTGGGCCAGTCACAGTTCTCTCAGAGCTGTTCTCTCAAGAGCAGTTCTCTCAGAGCTCTCTCAGCCCCACCTACCTTACAAGGCATCTGTTGTGGGGAGAGGAAGGGAAGGGAAGCAGGGTATAAAAACCAACTCTTATTATTATTATTAATTGTTTTGAATCAAAATGTAAGAAATAGCCCCCAAATTCTGTGTTGCTCTCTAAGACTTCTCAATACTCCCATCTGGACTTTCCCCCCTCACCTGTGGCTTCTAGGCCAAATTCAGGGTGATGGTCCCTAAGAACTCACTTTCTTTGTCTTAATTTATTAAAGTGCAATTCTAAGCATCGATACTCAGAATAAATCCCATTATGTAAAAACAACTGGGGGGGAAATCGCTTCTGGTTGTTAACTACATGAAGAGGCAGACACTATTTCATGGACACAATATGATTTTTAAAAAATGTATTGTGGCCTTTCTAGAGACTGTGTTCTCAAAATGTCCTTAGGATAAATACAGAGGTATCATAGAAATTGCAGTTAGATTCAGGTGGGTAGCCATGTTGGTCTGAAGCAACAGACCAACACTGCAGTTCCTCAAACAAAGTTTGAGTCTTGTGGCTCCTTTAAGACCAACAAAGTTTTATTCTGAGTATACGCTTTCATGTGCATGCACGTTTCTTTAGATATTTCTTCAGAAGTGTGTATGCACACAAAAGCTTATACCCGGAATTAAACTTTGTTGGTCTTAAAGGAGCCACTGGACTCAGACTTTGTTTGAGGAACTGCAGTGTTTTATTCCATCTTGCAGTGCAAGCAGCTTTCTTTTTTTTTTTTTTAATTCTGCAGGATCTCTTTCTTAAGTGTTCTGTTCAGGGGTGGTCTTAGATATTCTAGGGCAGTGAGCAAAAGTCCCGGATGGAGCCCCAGAATCATTGCCACTGCCACCCTGCTGGGGCCAAGCAGGGGTTGACCCTTTCCCCATGCAAGGCAGGCAGGAGCTGTCATCAGAGCCCAGCTCTCTGAGCCCTGGGTGGCGTGGGCACAGCAGCCACTGCTGAGCCAGCTGCCAGCAGGCACGAGAGACTGTAGCTGCAAGCAGGTGGCTTGAGCCCTGAACAGGCCAGTTGTAGCAGCAGGAACATAGAAACACAGAGGTGGAAGAGACCTCAAGGGTCATCTAGTCCAACCCCCTGCACAGTGCAGGAAATTCACTCTGCCTTTCACCCCATTCCCACAGTGACCCCTGTTCTATGCCCAGAGGCTGCTCTTTTTCTTCTTTACTCACCTCTGTTGGAGGGGGGGGGAGCAAGGGTGTTTGGGGGCACCCCAGCACAGGGCCCAGAGCAGCTGCCTCTGTTACCCATTCGACAAGACCCCACCTTGGTTCTTTTCCTAGGACTCCTGTCTTGTGTACCAGGAGATCATGCAGGGCCAGCCTGACCACCAGGAAGGCCTAGGTGATCACCTAGGATGCCAGCAGGGTTTCTGTTCCCCCAATGGGGGTGGAGGTTTATCCACTTTTGGGGCCCCCGATCCACCACCACCGAGCTGGCTGGCGGGGGAACCCCGCTCCCAAAGAGCCCCATCTGCGACATGTCCGGTGCAATGACGTCACCCAGAGGTGACAGGGCATATTGCAGGGTGTTGTGTAGTGGGTTAGACACATATAGAAACCACAGAGGCGGATGTAGTGATCAGCATGGTTTACTGGTACACAACTAAAACACAGAACACCGGCCGGGTGGCCAACTATATACAGTACCTGGGAACACCCCTAGATCCTATTGGTGGGTTTAAACCTCCCGCCAAAGTCCCTATTGGTTCCCCAAAGAATAATCCAGGAGCCTAGTCCCTATTGTTCCTAGGGAGTAAAGCTCGGCAGTAAAGTGCTGGCGCCTAGTGCTGGTTAGTGGACATAACACAGGGGGATGCTCTAGTGTTTGAGGAAAAGCTCTATGGTTACTATAGAGTTTTTCATCAAATGCTAGAGTGTACCCCTGCAACATGCCCTGCGCGATGATGTCATTTGCAGGAGACATCAAAGTGGCATGTGCATGAAAACTCCAGGGCACACAGAGGGACACCACCACCCCGCCAGCAGCTAGGTAAGATCTGGCAACCCTAGGTGCCAGATTTTGAGGGGTGCTGTAATGGCAAGGAGGCCCTTCTCCACTGGCTTGAAGGGAAGCTTGGCATTAATGGACTTCTAGACTCTCCATATCTGTTGACTCTGGTCTCCTATAGCTGCCGTGATGGAACACGGAGAACTAGGCTTGCTCCACCCTGACGTGCATGTCACCCGGAAGTGACGCGACCACGCCGGGCACGCTGGGGGCGGGGCCACGGTTATCCAAGGGAAAACTCTATGGTTTTCCCTCAGATGGTCGTGGCCCCGCCCCCAGTGTGCCCGGCGGCGTCACGTCCCTTCCGGGTGATGTGTGTGCAGTGTGCACACTCCAGCCGCCAGCCGGGAGTCCCTCGCTGCGGCTCAAAAAGCACTGGGCAATCCTATGGAGGACATCTGAAAGGCTTATCTGTTTTTATTTTTACATTGTTTAATTTGAATGCCCAGAAAGTAAAAAGTTTGTTCCAGATTTCTCACTTTTCTCTCTATTGAATGGGGGGGGGGCACCAAAGTCATAGTTTGACAAGGGTATCAAAAAAAAACTTGGACTAGCCCTGAGAGCATGCTATGAGCCATCATCTCCGTACGCATAATTGTCCTTCTATCTAAAAAGGGCAAAGTGCGTATCTTGCAGCTTCAGCATGTGTGAACATTTACCTATGAAAAACCAGCTTTCAGGTAGCGTGTACCAAAGCCACAAGACATGTAGTTTATCCTTTGTCTTATTAAAGAAAAAAACAGAAATGCTTTAAAGAGAATTGTACAACTGCTCCAAAAAGAGAGGGGGATGTGGGGGGATGATGATGTGTTCTTGAGGATACAGGGACCAGCCAATTAGTGCTGTGCATAGCCAACTTCTGCAGCAAACTTGTAGAGCTGGAATGATGGTGGTTTGATAGCTCAGTCACAGAGAGGGAAGAGTGCACTTGAACAGAAGGCAGTGAGGTGGCTTCAAGACTGACCTCACTGCTTTACTGATGATGTCTGCACATTACAATTTAATAAACCAAAGCCATCGCTCCTTGTTAGAAGGAAAGACTGTCTTTAATATTTTCTTTTTCATTTCCTGTAATACGACAGAGACAAAATGGCTTTAAAAATAAATAAACGTGCCCTTCAATCTCCACCGGTTCAGATTTCCATTTGAGCTTTAGTAGACTCAACTGGAACTTGCAGCCCTTATATAAACACTTTTCAAAAGCATTCTGGCTTTTTTTTTTCTTGGCAAGGCTACTGTGCTTTGAGCAGCTGTGATAAGCCGAAATCTAGCAGGTAAAGCTTTTCCTGGCAGGGACGTAAAAATGATAAGGAAAGTTCAACCTGCTGATTTGAGCTCCTGACACAGCTCTTCAAGGCAGAGCCAGAGGAGGGAGAAGGGGGGAATTGTCAACTCTATTTTGTAGCTCTTGGAAGGAAAACATGGCAAAGTTATAGAAACACTGCAGGCACGTAACAAACAACAAAGGCAGCTTTTTCTAAGGAAAAAGAGCTTGGGAGATCTGGGGGTAGGGGATTGTTGGAGTACAAAAGCATGAGGGGGAGGTGTTTCTCTGCCACTCACTTCTCCTTTCTGAATTGACCCCCAAGTCCCCACCACCACCACAGGAGATCCCAACAGATGCCTGCTGGGGCCATGTTGTCTTTGGAACCCTGCAGGAGGAAAAGGGGCTGGTGCTGAAAGGGTTAAGTGTCCCCTCCCCTCCCCTCCCCTACTTTTCTCTTCCAACTCACCTCCTCCTGGTTATTTCTCCTTAGAAACAGAGGCAGTCGGGCCTTTGTGGCTTGAATGTATTTGTAAGATGTGGCTGCATCCAAGACGGTGTGGTAAATGTGATGCAGAACATGCTGGCGGGGAGCATTGGTAAAAAGCTGTGAGATGCAAGGTGAGAGGGAAGGCCCTGAGGCACGCACATCTTGCTTTAAATGTGTTCTCTTGCCATTTATCCTTGCAGTTGTGATTCTCTACGTCCAAGGAAATGTGGACAAGGAATGGCGAGAGGTAAGTAGCTTTCCCCCTCTCCATCTCAGAGGGTCAAGCTATGACGGGGGTGATCTATGTTCAGATCCCCGCTCTGCCGTGTGACGTTCACATGGCAACTATGGACTGGTCACTCTCTCTTAGCTTAGTTTACCTCACAGGGGTATTGTGAGGGGGAAATGTGACGGAAGGCGATCATGAATGCTGCCCTGAGCACCTTGGAGGATGAGTGGGAATTTTAAAAATGCCTGTGTTGAATTGAACCAGGGAAGCACCCTTGTGGCCCAGTTACCCAGCACATCTTGGTGCCACAGACCCTTTCTGCCGATAGGCTCCTCTGCTGAAATGGGTGGGCTCCAGTGCTCCCTCTAAGCTGTGGAGCCTTGTGAGCAAAAATTCTACTTTGTGAGCGACTGGCGTTAAAGTTGTGAGCGAGCCGTTTGGCTACAGCATAAATTTGTTGGCTCTGGAGCCATCCTCCCTGAGCTAAGACAAAAATGTGTGAGCCGGAGGCAATGTTCCCTCTAAGCTGTGGAGTCCCGTGAGCAAAAATTCCACTTTGTGAGCTACTGGCATTAAAGTTCTGAGCAAGTGATTTAGCTACTGCATCAATTAGTTTGCTCTGGAGCCATCCTTCCTGAGCTGAGACAAAAATGTGTGAGCTGGAGGCTAAAAAACTGTGAGCTAGCTCACACTAACTCAGCTCAGATGGAACACTGGCCGGAGGCTAAAAAACTGTGAGTTAGCTCGCACTCACTCAGCTTAGAGGGAACACTGGTTGGCTCTCCAACTCGTGTGTTTGTCTGTCTTGTACGTTTTAGCCCATTCTTCCTCCAAAGATCTCAGAAAGGTGCCCACCAGGATTGCCAGCTCCAGGTTGGGAAATTCCTGTAGATTTGGGAATTGAGTCTGGGGAAGGCAGGCTATGGGAGGGAGGTGACTTAGTGGATGTCGTACCAGGGGAACTGATCTCTGTAGTCTGGAGATGTAATTCTAGGAGGTCTCCAGGCTCTCCCTGGATGTTGGCAAGTCTAGTGCACAGTCTTCTCCCTTCCCCCATTTTATTGTCACAACAGCCTCTTAGGTAACAGGGAGGTTTAACAACATTTATTCGAGCGTAAGATTTCTTGAGTCAGAGCCCACTTCCTTACATTCATGTACTGTACAGCCATACGGCAGATACATTTACACATAAGGCTACAAAGTATAAACGGCTACAGGTATAAATGGATGTACACTAACTGTATCTGACGAAGCAAGCCCTGACTGATGAACAGCTGATGCCATACTAAGTAGGGATGCCAGCCTCCAGGCAGGGCCTGGAGATCCCCTGGATTTACAGCTCATCTCCAGAGATCAGTTCCCCCTGAGAAAATGGATGCTTTGGAGGGTGGACTCTATGGCGTTGCACCGCACCGAGGTCCCTGTCCTCCCCAGACTCCATCCCTAAATCTCCAGGAGTTTCTCAGACCTGGCTCTGGCAACCCTACCCCTCCCCAATCCCCTGGTGGTGGCCAGGAAGGACCCGACAACTCTAGTACTAAGTGTTGTTACCATTAAGATGTCAGTGGACTCGCGTTTACTTTTACGGCAAGTGACTAACACAGCTCCCCCTCTAGAGGGTGGGATGGGTTAGGCTGAACGGAAGCGAGGGACCCAAGGTCAACCAGAGATCTACCGAGGTCTCACACATCCTAGTCCAGCCTAGATGTTAGATGGCCTCCCATTTCTCCATCCCCCCCCCCCCCCCCCCCCCCTTGTCATTGCCTGCTGCACTTGAGAGACGCTCTCGGAGTTGCAGCTGCAATTTTTAACTCCCCAGTTCGGTGAGAGATGATGAGGCGGCCACAGCAGCTAAATTCTTTCCCGGTTCCAAAAGCGGCCCTTTTGCTGAGGGACAGCCGACAATCATGGCCTCATCAGAGGCGACTTAATCCCCGGCTCAGGGATGCAGGCCTCAGATGCATACCCCCCCCCTTCCCCTCCCTCTGCCACAAGGAACTCATCATTTGCTTTCTGGTGCTCTTAATCCCAAACAGGGGATTAGGAGGGGAGGAATGAAACCAGGGCACCCTCCTCCCTATAGCCCCCTCTCTCCCCAGCAGTGTAGACGACCCCGCTTAACTTTCTCTGTGTTTCCTTTCCGTTCAGTTTGGCCGCACAGAAGTGATCGACAACACGCTGAACCCGGATTTTGTCCGCAAGTTTGTGCTCGACTATTACTTTGAGGAAAAGCAGAACCTGCGCTTTGATGTGTGAGTTGCTGCCACTCGCCTGCCCTTCCCTTCTGGTCTCTCCCTCCTTACCACCCCTCTGCGCCCCTCCTGGAGATGCCAGCCTCCAGGCGGGGCCTGGGGATCCCCTGGAATTACAGCGCATCTCCAGACTGCAGAGAGCAATTCCTCCGGAGAAAAGGGATGCTCTGGAGGGTGGGCTCTATGGGACTGTACCCCACTGAGGTCCCTGTTCTCCCCAGGCTCCACCCCCAAATCTCCCAGAGTTTCCCAGCCTGGATCTGGCAGCACCAGCCCTTGTCCCCTGCCGGTGGCCAGGTGGGACTTGGGGACCCTAATCTCCCTTTCACAATCCCTCCCCCTCTTCATGGCTCTTCTCTCCCTGTTAACAGTGCAGGGTCCATGCCAAGTTCAGTGCCAGTTGGGGGGAGAATTGACCGTTAGGCAAGATGCCTCCAGTGGGCCCCCTCCCTGAATGGGCCCACCCCCTTGCCTCTGCTGCTCTCTCATTGGCCCTCTTCGTTTGGACCCGGCCTTCACTGCTGCCCACAGAAAGAGCAGCAGGCTGTTGGTGGGGGCTCCTACTCCCTCTATCCTGTCCCTGTTCTGGGGTTTTTATTCTATTTTGTTTTGAATTTTTAAGGAAACGCAGAATGAAAAAAAAGGAAATGGGGGGGAATGCTTTAAAATCCCTGTTCTAGGGTTATCAACCTCGAGGCAGGACCTGGAGATCTCCTGTAATTACAACTGATCTCCAGATGACAGAGTTGAGTTCCCCTGGAGAAAATGGCTGCTTCGGAGTGTGGGCTGCACGGCATCAGATCGCTTCTAAGCTCTCGTCCCTCCCCAGACTCTACCCTCCCTAAGACCAACCCCCAAATCTCCAGAAATTTCCCAACCCAGAGTTGACAATCAGGGCTATTTTTGTAGCAGGAACTCCTTTGCATATTAGGAGACACACCCCTAATGTAGCCAATCCTCCAAGAGCTTACAGAGCTCTTCTTACAGGGGCTACTGTAAGCTCTTGGAGGATTGGCTACATTAGGGGTGTGTCGCCTAATATGCAAAGGAGTTCCTGCTACAAAAAGAGCCTGCCGCTCAGCCTGGAGACTCCAGGGGTCGACGGTGTGCCCCCTGCTGGGATGTATCTGCCTTGGCAGGGGCCCCATAATACTGACCTTGCCCTGCCACCAGCCCTTTCCAAACCACGCTTTAGGCCAAGCTTGGAAATACTAACCTTGGTGTGCTTTTCCAGTTACAATGTGGACTCCAAGACCTGCAACATCTCCAAGCATGTGAGTATGGTTCCAACTCCTCTCCCCACCCCACCCTGGATATATGTGCAGGATCCAGGTGTACCCAGTTATGACAGGCCCCAGAAAGTCTGCCAAAAGGGAAGGGCTCTCTCTCTCTCCCCCTTGGGATTTCTGTGATAGAAGCCCTATATAGTTTGCAGGGCTTCCTTTTGGAAAAAGACGTGCCGGAACTCTCAAGAGGGAAATGAAGTTTTCAATCCGTATACTGAAAACTGATGAACTTTTAAACATTTTTTAAAGAATTCTGTCGAAGAGGTTCCAGAACTCTGTTCCGGCACATTCCCCAAGGGGAAAAAAAGCCCTGATAGTTTGTATTGTCATATGAGTCAGTATTGCCCTGGGTCTGTTGCCTGGAAAGCCACCCTGAAGACCGTTTTCTTCCAGCGCAAGGCACAGGACCCTTTTCAGGATCTGGCACTGGCCTGCTTATACTTCCGTCATGCAGTCTGGCGCTTCTGTCTGTGGGGAGGAGGTGCTGCCTGACGAAACTCCCTCCCACAAAGCAAGTGCCTAACCCGTCGCACATGGGGCTGGCTCTGCTTTGCTCCTTTTCGAAATGCCCTTGGCTCCGGAGGCCTGGGGTCCCCTGGGTCCGTACAGTTACCAGTCACAGAGGAAATGAGGGTAGGGGGGCTTCTCATTTAGAAGTTCAGCCAAGTAACTAATTACTCCTAACTTTCCTTTCCATGCTGCTTTGCTGAACATGACCTGTAGAAGGTAAGGCGCCTCCTGTCCTCCAAAGGGGCTACACCACCCTCTGGTAGTGAAGTACAGGGTGCGGGAACAGGTGGGAGATTGACCCGGATGGCCTAGGCTAGCCTGATCTTGGAAGCTAAGCAGGGTTGGTCCTGGTTGGTAGTTGGATGGGAGACCTCCAAGGAATATCAGGGTTGCTATGCAGGGCCAGGTCATGGCAAACCACCTCTGAATGTCTCTTGCCTTGAAAATCCTACGGGGTCACTATAAGTCGTGGGGGACAGACTACGACTTGGATCCTCAGTCTTGTTTGGCTCACGCTGCACTCTTTTCCATGGCAGAAGCAGTCCTCCACTGCAGAGAGGGGATCCCACCAGTGCTAGGAACGTCCACTGGTAGAAGACCAGTATTTTTCACTGAGCTAAAAAGCATTCGAGGAAAGTATTGCACAGTGGAGGACTGTGTTTGCAGTGAACGAAGGAAGGTGGAAAGGGAGGCCGAGTTTAGAAGAGTCCACACTCCAGTGGGGGCGGGGGCTCCCTTCTCTAGTCGTTCTGTGTCCCAGACCCCACCCATCTTTCTCTGTTTGGTAGGACTTCCTGGGACAAGCCTATGTGGCCCTGGGCGAGGTCATCGGTTCCCTAAGAGGTCGCCTGGAGCGGACACTCGCGTAAGTCGAGGGGTTCAGCCGGATATCTGGGGAACGTTCCTAAAGACTTACCCCTACACTGAGCGCATTAGTTGCGTTAGCCAAGACAGAGGAAACGGCGGTATCATCAACCCTGAACATTGGGAGGAAACTAGGGGAGGGCTTCGGAGGGCAGAGATTAGACCCGGAGATTGTAGCCGTCCCGTCAGTTTGCCCATCCCTGTCCCCTGCTCCAGTTACCTGTTCTTCCCCTCTCTCCCGAGGACAGGCAGCTGCCATAGCGTTGTGCCACAGATACGCAGCACAGAGCTAGTGCAGCTGGTCTAAATGGCAGGAGGCCGAGAACGGGGGCAGATTCCCGACTGGCAGGGCTGTCTCTCTGACGGAGCCTTCCTGGCAGCTTGCAGTGGGCACAGCATAGCAAGGACAGCAATGCCAGCGCTGGGCAGAGGAAAGAGCCAGGGGTGTCATCAGATCAGAGCAGGGAGCACATGACAAATGCAAAGGGGGGGCGGGGAGGAGGTTTGGTGCCCACATAGAGATACTTCTGTGTTGTGCTTACATGTCCCTTCACAACTGATAATGCAGTCTCTCTAGTTAGGGTAAGTCATTCTAACGACGGCTGTGATTGAGAGATGCGTTTGCTCAAGTCCCGATTAATATGATTAAGTCTGCTGATAAACTCTTAATTCAGCTACAGTAAACCCTCTTCCTCTTGATAAGACAGGAGAGCAACTGTGTCACCCATTCGGACACGTTCTGCAGCACAGCTACAATGCCTTGCCGATGAATTAATAAGTATTCTGTGTTCAGTGTCAAGGAAATTAATAGGAAGAGAAAAATATATCCCAGGAAAGAAGGTTGTTTTCCATGAACCCACGTTGTATTTTTCAGTTACTCGCTGAGAGCAAATGAGCTGTGAGGCTCAGGGGAAGAGCATCTGCTTGGCATGCAGAAAGTCCCAGGTTCAATCCCCAGCATCTCCAGTCGAAAGGTTCACGTAGGAGGTGATGGGAAAGACCTCTGACGGAGAACCCAGAGAGCTGCTGCCGAGCACAGAAAACAATACTGACCTTTGGTCTCTCCTCGGAAGATTTGTTGCATTTGTATGCATTTGTACCCAGCTTGGAGGGACAAAATGCTTTGAAAGAGACGTGATGCTCTTGGTCTTTAGGCTGCTTTAAGGGCCAGTAGTCTCTGAAGATGGTGCCACGCCTCAGTAGTAGTGCACATGCTGTGCATTCAGAAGGTCTCAGGTTCAATCCTCTTTGTCTCCAGTTAAAGGATCTTGGGTAGAAGGTGCTAGACCTTTTTCTGCCTGAGACCGCAGAAAACTACTGCCAGCCAGAGTAGAAGAAGAAGAGATTGGATTTATACCCGGCTTACAAACTCCTTTCCCTTCCCCTCCCCACCACAGACACCCTGTGAGGTAGAGAGACTGAGAGAGCTCTGAGAGAAACTGCTCCTTCAAGGACAGCTCTGACAGAACTATGGCTTGCCCAAGGTCATCCAGCAGCTGCAAGTGGAGGAGCGGGGAATCAAACCCAGTTCTCCCAGATTAGAGTCCGTGCACTTAACCACTACACCAAACTGTCAGCCCAGGCTAGCCTGATCCTGGAAGTTAATCAGTGTCAGCTCCGGTTAGAGCTTGGGTGAGAGACCACCAAGGAAATCCAGGGTTGCTATGCAGAGGCAGGCAATGGCAAACCACTTCTGAATGTCTCTTGCTCTGAAAACCCTGTGGCGTTGCTGTAAGTTGTCTGCAGTTTGATGGGAGAAAAAGCTCACTGGTCGATTTAGCTCAATGTGTGTGTGTGTGTTGAGTTAGACCGACCAATCAGCTGTCTCTGTCTAAGGCAGCTCGAGGTGTGCAGGGGAAAGGGGCACTCCACTCTCACGTAGTTACACAGGCGTGGGAGCTCCATTCTGTGGTGTGAGCTTCCTCATTCACGGTATGTGTAGGAATATCCAAACAATGAATCATCTCTTTCCCCAGAATAAAGTACTATGATTTCTCCATTTCCCTCTGAGATTAAGGATCAGAGGCAGCTGAAACGGATGGTATACAGTTGAAATAGCAGCCAGGACATCTTTTAAATATGGATCTCTCACCATATCAGTTTGGTGTGGTGGTTAAGAGCGGCAGGATTCTAATCTGGAGAATGGGGTTTGATTCCCCACTCCTCCTTGTGTAGCCAGCTGGGTGGCCTTGGGTCAGTCACAGCTCTCTCAGTCTCACCTACCTCACAGGGTGTCTGCTGTAGGGAGAGGAAGGGAAGGTTATCGTAAGCCGCTCCAAGGCTCCTTTGGGTAGTGAAGGGTGGGGTATGAAACCAATTCTTCTTCTTCTTCTCCTCATCCTTCATCATTTTTGTCACTTGTGGCTTACTGGAGTGGAGATGGCTTGGTATTCCAGAGTTTGAAAAGGAAGGGAAAATAATTAAATAAGGCTTTTCCCGTTGCCTGGAACCTTACATTCTGTTTGCTGATTTAGAACAGAACAGGAAACTTCTCCAAGATCCTCAGAAGGGCACCTTCACTTTGTTTTGAAACATGTCATTGGGGAAAAAAATGAGTCAGGTAATTGATTAATCAGATCAAAGCAACCCAGTTAATTGATTAAAATATTTAATTGCTTAGCCGCCCTAGTAAAAAAGTGGAATTCAGGTCCCTGGAGCAGAATGACAGCAAAGTGTAGGGAAAGTGGCTTGAGTCTTTGTACTCCAGGCCTGTATGCAACTATGCTGGTGGTCCTCACATGGGCTTCCACCCTAGGCAACGAGAGCACAGCTGTGCGGTACGAGCAGCAGAGACTGTCCAGCCTCCCCCTCCCTCTGCGGGCTTCTTTGACCCTTGGACTTGTGCCCCTGTGACCACCATAGTGGGGCAGCAGGGAGTGGGAAGAATGGGCAAAAGTTAGAATCCTGGAATCACAGAGTGGGAAGGGGTCATACAGGCCACCTAGTCCACCCCCCTGCTCAATGCAGGATCAGCCTAGAGCATCCCTGACCAAGTGTTTGTCCAGCTGCTGCATCAAGACTGCCCGTGAGGGGGAGTTCACCACCTCCCTAGGCAGCTGATTCCAGTGTTAAAGGTAAAGGTTCCCTTGCTCGAAAGCCAGTCGAATCCGACTCTAGGGTTGCGGTGCTCATCTCCGTTTCAAAGCCGAAGAGCCAGCACTGTCCGAAGACGTTTCCGTGGTCATGTGGCCGGCATGACTAAACACCAAGGCGCACGGAACGCTGTTACCTTCCCACCGAAGTGGTACCTATTTATCTACTTGCAATTTCTTGCTTTCGAACTGCTAGGTTGGCAGTTCCAGTGTTGCACAACTGTAAACAAATATTTTCCTAATATCCAGCCGGTACCTTCCCACCCTGAATTTAAACCCATATTTGCGAGTCCTATCTTCTGCTGCCTCTGTGACAGCCTTTCGAATACTTAGAGAGAGCAATCATGTCCATGAGTGGAAGTAGCTAATGCAAATGGAAAGGGGCGATGAGGGTCCAAGCCAAGGCCTGCAGGATCAGGCCAGTTTGGAGGGTTGGGAGTGGAGTATTTCATTGGGAGCCTGCCCATGTGGGGCCACTGGCCTGGCACATCTGTCTTTGAGTGACGTCTACTTTGATACTAGGGGTCTATTTCAACCTCCTTGAGGTTTGATGAAAAACAAAGAACTTGGGACCTGTCAGTCTCTCCCCAGCTTGGGTTCTCAAGTACCTACCTACGAACCGGCGGGGGACACATGCTTCCCCGCCAGAGGATTCTTGCTTGTAACACAGGCGCTGCACTATTCCGTCGCCCAGACGTGACGTAGGCACGTACCATCGAGTTTCCAGCCCCATTGCTAGAGCGTCGCCTGGCTACATGCCTACGTCACGTCTGGGCGACGGAATAGTGCAGCGCCTGTGTTTCCCCCGTGGGAATGATCCCGCGAAGAACTATACATCCCCCGCCGAATTAAGGTAAGTACTTGGGAGCCCTGTCCCCAGCTCTAACGATTTCCAACAGAAAATGCCTCATGCTGTGGCTGGTCTCGTATATGCAAACACAATGCGGATAAGACGCCACACCAATTGGTGTTGCCAATTCTGTAAAAAGGAAATTGGAGGGGGGGGCATGACCACCATGACATCCAGACCCTCCTCCCATTTTGCTCCAATCCCTGCCGTACCTCCTCTAGGCAAGGTACCTCAGTCCCACAGCTTTTTGATCAGCGGTCCCTGTTTCAAATTGTGCTTGGCTCTAGGGTCATGATGATCGATGCTGTATGTCACATCAGTCTTTTCTTAGCTGTCTGCTTCCATATGTGGGGAGCTGACCAGGAACAGCCTGGTTTTGTAAAGCAGTGCATCCTGGGAGTCATGTGACCCAAGTCATGTGGCTATTTTTAAATGAAAAGGGTGTGTTTTGGTGACCCTTTCAATGCATGTTCATAAGTGAAGAGGAGATGAGTGGGCCATGGCTGCTGCTAAAAAAGTCCTTGCAAGTGAGGGGGGGGGGCACCATTTGAAATTTGCAGTCCAGCAAGTGGCAGCTACCTCATCAAAAGCAAGGCACTGTGACCTGACCTGGATAGCTCAGGCAGGCTTGGTCATGTCAGATCTTGGAAGCTAAGCAGAGTTGACTGTGGTTAGTACTTGGATGGGAGGCTTCCTTGGAATACCAAGTTGGGAGGACAGGGGGAGGCTTTTTTCAGCCACCACTCTGAATATCCTCCAGGACCCCAGTGGGGATCAATCACCAGAGGTCGACATGACTACCAAAAAGAAAAAAGAAGCAAGGCACTGTGGTATGATGCTTAGACTATTGGACCTAGCCCCCCAGTTCACACTTGCTGGAGAATGAGGTGGCAGAACGGATGGCATCACTTCGGACTGCAGATGAAGGATCAGATTTCGGAGTGCCCTCCACGCGAAAAACTCCCTGTGAACAGAAAACCACCACAGCATATGAAGAAAGGGCATAGAACAGAAGTCAACCTTTTATCATTAAGGCACCAAACTATATCAAGATTCAGAGGAAAGGATTGTCAGAGACCCAGTATAAGAAAGCTGCTGGCCTACCTGAAGACCTACAAATGAACATTAAGGGCTCTTTTTGTAGCAGGTACTCATTTGCATATTAAGCGACACACCCCTAATGTAGCCAATCCTCCAAGAGCTTACAGTAGCTCCTGTAAGAAGAGCTCTGTAAACTCTTGGAGGATTGCCTACATTAGGGGTGTGTGGCCTACTATGCAAAGGAGTTCCTGCTACAAAAAAAGCCAGACTGCTTTATAATCCATTAAATTTCTGTAGGCCAAACACCGGCTCTTGTGAGTCTTTTATTGGGAAGCATCACACAATAAGTAAGAAATACAAACAGGTGCACACTGCACAATTGTTTTGGTGCAAAGGCACATGGTTTGCACCTGAGTTACTAAGCACATGGTTTGCATTGCATATGGTTTGTTACTTTGCATCATTTGCACCTGAGTTACTGGCAGCTGATCCCCTGCCATTCCAATGCAGCCTCTCTAAGAAGCCTGTAAGTCCCATGAAAATCTTTGCCTGCTTCTTCCTTCAGGCAAAGGTTATTCTGATAGCCTACCTAACCCTCCCACGGACATGAACTCAGGGCTGGCATCACCTTCCCCCAAGATGGGGCAGTCTGCTGAGGTCCCAGGCTTCGGAGGGGCACTATCCCTGCCCATCTCCCACTTGCTTGTGAGTCCACCTGCCACCCACACTCCTAGCCACATGCACTGCTGCCGGAAGGGTGTGTATGTGGTGTGTGCAGTGGGGAACGTGAACAGGGAGAGGGGGGAGGAAGCAGGCGCAGGCAGGTGGTGGGAGTTGGGCAGGCAGGTTGGTAGGAAGGTACCAGCAAGGGGAGTGGTTCCCTGGCCCTCTCTGCTCAGGGCACCCCAAAACCTGGAACCGACCATACTTGAACTTACAGATTCGATTTCCTTTTGTAACAAGCCCTGTTTGGTTCTGTCCTCCTGAGTCACATTTGCCTCAAGAGCCATTGGATGGAGACCCCTAGCGTAAAACCCTTTTTCCTGCTGCACTTGTGTGGTTTTTTTGCTTGATAAAAGTTTTCAAAAAGAAGAACTAGGTTCGAGTCCAGCAGCACCTTAGAGACCAACAACATTTTCAGACTTTTGAGAATCAGAGCACCCTTCGTCAGAACGTCAACTCTCGAAAGCTCTGTTGTTCTCTAAGGTGCTCCTCGACTCGAATCTGTCCCTTCTGTTGCAAACCAACAGGGCTACCCTCTGAAACTAGCTTCAAAAAGAAAGCGATTGAAAGTTGGAGTCCATCAACTGCTATCCATTCTTCCATCTCAGGGCTTATTTGTTTAAAATACTTATATCTCGGGTGACCAGCAAACCAGCAAATCATAGCTGTCCATCGACAAAATAAAATGACTGCACACAATTATAAACGCAGCCAAATCTGTCAGCTTGCCATCTGGAAGAAAATGCTTTTAGATACGGTCCAGAATGCAGTGTAAGAAGGCGCCCTCTGAACTCACTCTGGTAGGCTGTGACAGAGAACTGGACCTACCACAGATAAACCCAGTGACCTGTTGCCATACAGGGCCAAAATACACATTATATTTGATGTATATCTGGTGAAAAGGAAAGGGGGCCTCACCAAGGCAAAATGAAGACAAAGAAACAAAATGGTGTGGGAAGCGGGAAGCGAATCTTTAATAATTGTACACCCCCTACGCCATGGCCGGATTAACCATTAAGCAGACTAAGCATGTGTTTAGGGCACCAGGACCAAAGGGGGCACGACAAAGTTGGGGAAAGGGTGAAAAGAAAAAAAAAGATTTGTAAAAACTTTTTTTGATAAAATTGATAATACTAGTGCAAATTGATCATGGTGCACCCTAGGGTTATCTTCTATTTTTTGTTGGCGAGGTGCAGTGTCATAGGTTTGTACAGTATATTGTGTTATCATATGAATAAATGTTTGTATTGCTGCAACCTGCATTGTATATCTGGTCAGACAGGTCAACAACGAAAATGGACTGGGCCAGTGTGGAAAGGAGGGGGGAACACCAAGACTGGTCAGTGCTTAGGGCACCAGTGAGCCTTAAGGCGTAATCTTCGTGGGGGCGGCAGGGCGTCAGCCCCCGCCGAAATTTTCAGGAAGGTGCTCCACCGCCCCCGGGAGCCCCCCTTGCCCATAGGAAAGCAATGCCTCTGGTTCAGCCCCAGCCCCCCCCCCCCGGGAAATTGGAAAGTCTACTTCGTCAGGGGGAAATCTACTTTCAGATTCTTTTTAGAGTCTGTTCAAATGTATGTATGGGAACGGAACTAACAAGAATATGAAAGTTGATTCCCCCGACGAAGCTGCATGCGAAATGCATAAGAGTTGTACAATTATTAAAGGTTCTTTTCCCTCTGCACCATTTTGTTTCTTTGTCTTCCTGATGTCTGTGTGGGAAAGGGTGCCTGCTCCAACTTGGAGCCAAATGTCAGAGTGGGGACCAACCTTTAAAGATTTCTTAGTCACTCCGTGGTGACTGCCAGAGGCTGTGAGGGGATAAGAGAGACTTCATGCTTCTCTCCTGTGCCGTTTTTGCCAACAGAGATGGCTGGGGGGGGGGGGAATAGCCCTTACACAGAAGTTTCCCCTGGCAAAACTGGTCTGGGAGGGAAGCCTGAAGTCCCTCTTGCCCCCTTTACAGCGTTTGGAGCTGAATGGGGTGATGAAGAAGCATTTAAAGGTTAGACCCAACCAGTGTTCCCTCTAAGCTGAGTTAGTGTGAGCTAGCTCACGTTTTTTTAGCCTCCGGCTCACACATTTTTGTCTTAGCTCAGGAAGGATGGCTCCAGAGGAAACTAATGTCTGAAGTAGCCAAATCGCTCGCTCACAACTTTAACGCCAGTCGCTCACAAAGTAGAATTTTTGCTCACAAGACTCCACAGCTTAGAGGGAGCATTGGTCCCAACTCTGATGTTTGACTATGAGTTGGGTTGGTCACCCATGTCCCAACACATGTAAAAAAGTAATTTGTATGTTGGACTTCAGGAGAGGGTACCACCAGGAGAAGGCTATCTGAAGAGTGTAACAGGTGCGTGAGAGTACACTGGGAGATGTGGCTTTACCAATACATTTTCTCATTCTCTTGCATATGTGAATCAGGCCTTTGAATGGGGGGCCCACATTCAAATCCTCGCTCAGTTATGAAGCTCACTGCATGACTTTGAGCCAGTCACTCTCTGTTACCCTAGTTTACCTTACAAGGTTGAAAAGGGGAGGAAAGGATCAAGTGTCTTGCCTTAAGTTCCCTGGAGGAGAAGAAGAAGAGAAGAGATTGGATTTATACCCCACCCTTCACTACCCAAAGGAGTCTCAGAGCAGTTTACAAACTCCTTTCCCTTCCCCTCCCCACAACAGACACCCTGTGAGGTAGGTGGGGCTGAGAGAGCTCTGACAGAAACTGCTCTTTTTCAAGAATAGCTGTGCCAGAACTATGGCTTGCCCAAGGTCATCCAGCAAGTGCAAGTGGAGGAGTGGGGAATCAAACCCGGTTCTCCCAGATTAGAGTCCGCACACTTAACCACTACACCAAAGGGAAGAATAATAATGATTTCTGCTAGCCACCATGAGTGGGTGAGCTCATCTGAACTAGCACTAAGTCTCTCTCTCTCTCTGTCTGTCTGTCTCTCTCTAGGGGGGTCCCAGGGAAAAAGTGTGGCACCATTGTGCTGTCTGCCGAAGAGCTCAGCAATTGCCGGGTGAGTGCCTCTCCGCATGCAGGGAGTAAACTTGCAGTGGTACGGGTGGGACACAGAAACAAGAACGAGGTCAGCAGCACAGCCATGCCCTACGGATAGATTGGCTTGAGCTGTGACCTGTCTAGTCACATCCTGTCAAGGTTCACCAGAGTTTAGAAGAAGGCCTTTTTACCAAGATCTCAACCATAGAAATGGGAGCAGGGAAGGAGATGGAAAATATGTGGAGGGGGCGTTACATTTCCCACAGAATATGTTCACAAGGAGTCTTTCTGCACTAACTGTAGTGGCAGGTAGAGACACTGCAGCCAAAGAGGTATGAGATTTTGGAGGCCTGATCACTGATTTTGCAAGTGCATCTGAACTTGAAAAGATTGACAGAGTCCACATGGTATTTTTGGACAAGAGTCACACCAGTGCTGCATACCTGGCCCTAGTTTTCCCAGTAGCTATATTTAGGATAAGGCTGCAATCCTAGAATCACAGAGTTGGAAGGGGCCATACAGGCCATCTAGTCCAGCCCCCCTGCTCAATGCAGGATCAGCCTAGAACATCCCTGACAAGTATTTGTCCAGCCGCTGCTTGAAGACTGCCAGTGAGGGGGAGCTCGCCCCCTCCCTAAGCAGCTGATTCCACTGTTGCACAACTCTTACTGTAAAAAAAATATGTTTTCCTAATATCCAGCCTTTCTGCCTGTAATTTAAACCCATTGTTGCGAGTCCTATCCTCTGCTGCCAACAGGAACAGCTCCCTGCGATCCTCTAAGTGGCAGCCCTTCTAATACTTAAAGAGAGCAATCCTGTCCCCCCTCAGCCTCCTCTTCTCCAGACTAAATATTCCCAAGTCCCTCAGCCTTTCCTCATAGGGCTTGGTCTCCAGGCCCCCGAGCATCCTCGTCACTCTCCTTTGCACCCGCTCCATTCTGTCCACATCCATTTCGATGTGAGGCCTCCAGAACTGCACAAAGTTCTCCAGGTGTGGCCTGACCAATGCAGTGTACAGCGGGACTATGACTGCACTATGGAAGAGAAGCAGGGCTGGACATTACATACAACCCTTGCTTTTCAGTTTTGCTTTCTAAAAGTTAAGCTTCCATCCAAGTCAGACTTTGCATTTCAGACCCATTGGTTTGAATGGAGAATGGACAGCTAAGAACATTTGCCAATAGTATTTTTGAATGGCAGGTTGGATTCTTAGATGTTTAGCATTAGTAGCAGGTCTGCAGGCTGCCTGGATACGAAGACTTCTGGGGAAGCTACATCTAAGCTGCTCTGAACTCCTTGGAGAAAGGACGGGCTATAGGTGTCATCATGGAATGGCTGTTTGCATGTCCACGGTACTGAGTCTGTTCCATTCCAGTCGATTAGCTCATCACCTGGACTGGGTATGGTACCTGGAAAGAAAATTGTACATTTCCCCTAGATATTTCTGTTTTCTAGAGGAAAGGGGGTGAGTTTCACATCTTGGCAACCTGTTGTATGGAATATATCACCGGGGAGGAGAATGCTTGTGGTTGTCTTTTTTTTTTAAATGGAAATGCTTGTTCAGACCTGTAATATAAAACAATCTGTGCAAGATGGGAAAAGATGATGGAAAACTCGGGCTTTAAACCCCCGAAGTATCGACTCTTCAAATGTATATCCGTTCTGAGCTGCACAAACGTCAATGTTAAGGCAATTCTGGCAGTATTCATCTGACATGAAAGCGGGAAGGATTGTGTTTCTTCCTTTTGGATTCCTCCCCCCGCCCCACATCTGATGTTTAATAGGAGGCTTTCCTCCAGGGGTAGGAAATGGTGAATGCATCTCTCTATTAAATGGAGACCTGATAATGGAACGTTCCCTTTAAACCGCTGCCTGAAATAAATGCTGCAATTCACAAAACCAAACAAGGACCCACGGTAAGTAGGAAAACCAACATACAACAAGTACCGTGCACAGATGATTATAACATATCATAAATAGTTTTCTATTTTTTGAAAAATATTTTACAATAATTTCTACATATATAATGATCTTAATCACAATTCACAATATAAGAGATATCAAAAATATCAAATATCATCTCCAGGAATCTCAAAAGCTATTGTACAACGATGATATTTGATATTTTTGATATCTCTTATATTGTGAATTGTGATTAAGATGATTAATTATATATGTAGAAATTAATTTAAAAATATTTTTCAAAAAATAGAAAACTATTTATGATATGTTATAATCATCTGTGCACGGTACTTGTTGTATGTTGAAATAAATGCTGGGCAAACGTAACCCCATTGTGATACTCATCCAGAGCCACACTAGGCACTGTTAACTTAGATGTTCTGTGTCCTGGACGCAAGGGCCCCAAGTCTTGGAAACCATCTCCACCGTAGGAAACAGCAACCGTGACTTCTGCAGATTTCTTATGGCAGAGTTGGTGTGCATTAGCTGCTGCTGTCATAACTCAGCTCCTTCACACCCTTTTCTCCTCGTTCTCTGTCATTTTCTTCCCAAACACTGACTACCACGCCAATCTGGTAGAGTACCTTTTACCCCACTGTTCTTTGATCAACCTCATTTTGAGCCATAAAACCAGCTTTTTCCCTCCGTATCTTCTCCTCTATTTACAGTCTGTCCATTTTGCAAAGTCGATGCCTTGGCGCTAAGTGCCCCCCCCTTTCCCGCCTCTCTCCGTCTCCTCCAGCCTCCCAAGCGATACATGATTGTTCTTGATACTCTCTCATCATCACTGCTTTCCCTTGATCTGATCTAGCCTTTCTCTTCCAGGACACTGTCACCATGCAACTGTGTGCCAACAAGCTTGACAAGAAGGATTTCTTCGGCAAATCCGACCCCTTCCTCGTTTTCTACCGCAGCAACGAGGATGGCACGTACGCAAGAAATGCCCCCCTTCAAGACCATCGTGACACCCAGCCAGGGTTGCCAGTTGTGGGTTGGGAAATACCTGGAGATTTGGGGGGTGGAGTCTGGGGAGGGTTGCCAGGTCCGGCCTTGTCCCCAGCGGGGGGACTTGGGGGGGTCATTCCTGTAGAGGACGGGGCCGTCCCCAAGATGATGACATTACATTGGGCATGTTCCTGCCCCAAGCCCCGCCCCCAACAGCGACCACCCACAGCTACCCCCTCTCCCTCCCCTCCTGGGAGATTTAAAGGGCCCATCGATGAGCTGAAGGGCCCTTTAAATCTTGCAGGAGGGGAGGGAGAGGGGTGGCTGTCGGCCGAGTGCCTGAACTCAAAGCGGCAATGCCGTTTGTAATTCAGGTGTGTGAGGCCTGGCCCCCACTGGCCAAATGCATTTAAAGGACTTGAAATGCTTTTGGCCAGTGGGGCTGCCCTTCTCCCTCCCCTCCTTCAAGATTTAAAGGGCCCTCCGGGGTCACATGCTCCCCCCCATCAGCTAGAGGGCCCTTTAAGTCTCTCTGGAGAGAAGGAAGAGGGGTGGCTGTAGATGCTCGTGCTTGGGGGTTGGGGGTGGGGCTTCCCCCGCCGGCCAGTTGGCTGGTGGCGGGCTGAAGCCCTGAAAATCAGGGGAGCCCCCACCCTAAGTCTGGGGATGGTGGTGTTTGCGAAGGGGAGGAACCTCGGTGTGATACAATGCCATAGAGTCCACCCTCCAAAGCAACCATTTTCTCTGGGGGGACTGATCTTGGTAGTTTGGAGATTAACTGTAACAGCAGGAGGTCTCTGGGTGCCACCTGGAGGTTGACAACCAGTCATCCAGCCTACCAGGCACACTGACAAACATACTCCCAGAGCATGCAGTTGCCTTCCTGGTATTGCTGGGTCCCCTTCATTTACAAACACACACACACGTTCACTAGGGAAGCTGCCTCCATAAGAGTAAGCAGGCCTGTCGACGGGACATGTAATTCTGCCTGCCATGATGATTCTCTCTGGCTTCTCACGCACTTTGCCCGGTGCAAGACTGTTTGGAGGGTTACACTGAAATATCAATGAATCGACCTTTATTGGCATAACATACAGAACATAAGACTCAATTTGCAAGGAACACTGAACGCTTTCTTGAAGCTTCATACAGAAATTTTGCAACACTTTCAATTATTATGTGATTCTGGGTTGTCAGCAAAAAGTAAATCTTCCATTTATCAGGTTTCCCTGAATACTTTCTCAACCATGGCTCGATGAATGTAAGGCGCAGGTGCGAGTAGAAAGTACATGAAAGCAACACATGTTCAAGAGTTTCCATCTCCTGCTTAGTGCAGGAACACAATCTACTGTCGAATGGGATTTTTTGGAATCTCCCATATAATACTACTGATGGCAACACATTAAACCTTGCTAACATATATGCTCTTCGTTGCCCCGGTTTCGTTTAACAAGTTAGATACTCAGCCCTATGCCCAAAAGGGAAAGGCTCCAAATTAAGGGGTGAGCATCTACTTTTTCCACGGCTCTCAAGAACCTGCCTCTCAATGTCAACCAGTCTTTGCCTGATCAGCCTAAAGGCTGACTTTTCTGTGTACAGATATAGGTCTCCAATGTTAAGCCCAATTGAATGGATTTTTTCTTCTATATGACAAAGCCACATAGAAGACTGGGACTCCGTTAACATACGAGCAATAAGATCATTGTTGTCTCTTTTAAAAAATAGGTGTAACCAAAATTTGATGGCAATAATCCATACTCTAGTTTCAAGGAGTCTTTGGTGTGTTTCTATACACATGGCTGCATATGGCACGCAAGAGGGTAGGCCCAAAATCTTACGAAGAAAGTTAGACTGTATTCTTTCCATGACCTTATTAAAGGCCGTTGACACTGAAATATATTTGCAGGCTTCACAGGTAGCCCTGCCAGCTTCCAGGTGGGGCCTGGAGATCTCCCAGAGTTAGAACTGATCTCCAGGTTACAGAGATCAGATTCCTTGGAGAAAATGGCTGCTCTGGAGGGTGGACCCTGTGTCATTATTGAGGTCCCACCAATCCCCAAGCCCTTCCCTCCCCAGACTCCACCCCCAAAATCTCCAGGGATTTCCCAGCCCAGAGTTGGCAACCCTTTTTAGGGTTTCTACAACTGATCTCCAGCTGACCGAGATCAGCTCCCCTGGAGAAAGTGGCTGCTTTGAAGGTTGGGCTCTTCTATAGCCTTGTATCCTGCTGAGGCCCCTCCCCTCCCCAAACCCCCACCCTCTCCTGGATCCACCCCCAAAGTCTCCGGGTATTTTCCAACCCAGACCTGGCAACCCTAACCCTTTTCACAATTCTGATCCAAAAGCCACAATATCCCCTACATCAATAGTTACACCCAGACATACTTCCAAATCAGGATGGGAGGCTGTGGCCCTTCAATCAAGCAAAATGTCTCCACGTACAGGAAAAGAGCCATTGTCGCCATGTTACATGAAACAGGAATAGCTACCAGATTGTGTACTAGGCTCTAGTCTCCTAAAGCTCCTGGGATTTCAGGCTTCAGGGCTGGCAACCCTATGCTGCTTCCTCAGAGGAATTTAAAGCCGTAGGGAAGGCCAAAGTTCAGATCTGGCCAACTGGCTTCTTTGGCCAGAGGCCTGGGTTTGTGTCTACCCTTTCCCAGCTCCAATCCAGGATTGGATTGCATTTATTTATCTGAAAACTTGTGCCCCCCATCTCCTGTATCCAAGGTGGCTTACATAGATGATAGATCAAATATACAATCTAAAAGACAATAACACACTAAAATACAGTGCCTTTGAATGATATGGCCCATAACAACTTATAGTTCCAATTGTTCCAGAGCCTATAGATAGATCCATAAAATAGGCTTGTCCTTTGGGAAAGTCAGGTTGTGTGGTTCATTGGCTGAAGTATCAGAATAGGATCTGAGAGACCCAATTTTTAAAATTAATACCTCGCCTTTCTCCCCAGCGATGACCCATCCTTCTCTCCTCCATTTTATCCTCACAACACAACTCTGTGAGGTATGTTAGCCTAAGAGAGGCCCCGGTCACACGGAGCATTAGGCACGCTAGAGAGACAGAAGATAGGTGGATTTTCCGGGCGCGATCTCACCACCACGTCTGGGAAGCGTAGAGCTCCCGTGGCTCACCCGAGGCTTCACTCCGAAGATGCACTGTAAAAAACTAGTACCTCCAAGGTACTAGTTTCTGGAAACCGTGGGGCAAGGGTGGGCGTCAGATCACGTTTCCGGTGTTAGCTCATGGCATCCGGCATCCGCCGGCACCCGCCTATGTCCCTTTGCGAAAAGTTTTTTTTTGTCAAGTCTCCATGGGTGTGCGCAAGCACCCAACGGCGCATGCAAACACTTGGGTTAAAAAAAAACAACACAACCCCCGCGGCGCCGCTTCTTTGCCACGCCGCAGGAGTGAGGTATGATCGGCACCTCCCCCCAAACACGGGACATCGGCGGGACGTCCGGCGGGACGTTTGATCCAGCTGCCGCGTGGTAGTTCGCTCCAGGGCACCCCGCCTCCCCCCCCCCCCGTGATATCCGGCCCGTGTGACCGGGGCCAGATTGTGATTGGCCGAAGGTCCCCCATCGGTCTTCCATGGCATGAGTGTGGATTTGACTCAGGTGTCTTCAAGATAGTAATCCAACACTCTTAACAAGTACACTACTCTACCATAGAAGTTCACCTTGGGCCAGTCACACATACTCACCCTAGCCTACCTCACAGAGTTGTTGTGAGGATAAAACGGAAGTGAGGAGAATGATGTAAGCTGCTTCAGGTCCCCATTGTAGAGTAATATATGAAATGTTAATAAATTCAAGTAGTTAAGACTTATTAGATGTCTCTTTGTATGAACTGTTACTGCTTAATCTGCTTTTACTCTCAGTGACAAAGATGGTAAATAAATAAATAAGAATACATAATGTGCCTTAGAACAAAATTCAAGTCCAGTGGCACCTTAAAGGCCAACAAAATTTTCCAGGGGTTTCTGTCTGTTTTGTTTTTCTTTAAGATGCTACTGGACTCGATTTTTGTTCTATTGCCACAGACTGACACGGACACCCACCTGGAACTATGATGTGAATTAGTGACATAGCTATGAATGGCATGAAACATTTTAGGAAACCTTTTTTTAGAAAAAATAGCAGGGTAAGAGTATTTTAAATAAATAACTGTTTCCATTATTAATAGTTCCAAGCATGGGATCTCTGGTTTCTAGTTACTCCAGGTTAATTTATCCAGAGTGAAAAGGAGTGATCTTGTGTGTGTGTGTGTGTGTGTGTGTGTGTGTGAGAGAGAGAGAGAGAGAGAGAGGGAGGGAGGGAGAGAGAGAGGGAGGGAGGGAGGGAGAGAGAGAGGGGCTGCTGGAAACCATGGCTGAGCATGACTGTCCATATTGGTTCTGAGAATTAAGGGGGCACTGATATTCCTGTGTGGACCATTCACTACAGAACTGCTTTCCAAATACATCTGAGTTGGCCCTGGAGGAGTAGTTGGGGAACATATTCCGCAGTAGCTGTGCAGCCACAAAGAGGTGCATAGCAGTTTCTTTCCAGCCCTAGAAACACACTAGGGACACAACCAAGGGTTTTAACACTTTGTAGGTGCTGCTAAAATGCTTACTTTTGTGCAGCTGCTGGAGGCACAGAAGCCTTCTTTTGTCGTATGGTGGTAGTGAGGTGTTTCTGTTTTCCAAGAGATATTTTGTGTCCTCCCCCAAGCCCATGCCTTTAAACACTCACATACTCCACTGGAGTGTCCCTTGTTCACAGCCGGAGCCAACAGGGCTTGTTTTTCGTGCTCTGTTTCCGTGCCCGCTTGCCATGACCTCTCTGTGCTTCCAGGTTCACCATCTGCCACAAGACAGAGGTGGTGAAGAACAATCTGAATCCAGTATGGCAGCCATTCTCCATCCCTGTGCGTGCTCTGTGCAACGGGGACTATGACAGGTCAGAGCCTGGCCGCATGTATGGTGTACTCTGGAGGAGGGCGGAGAGGATGAGGTGCAACATCCTTTGTTCACCCTAAGGAACAGCTACCAGGGCTATTTTTGGGCAGGAATGCACAGGAACCGAGTTCTGGCTGGCTCCCGAGTTGGCCACACCCAGCAGGAACTAATTAGCATAATAGGCCACACCAAACAGCAGAAACTCATTAGGACTGGCTACATTAGGGGTGTGTGGCCTAACATGCAAAGGAGTTCCTGCTACAAAAAAGCCCTGGGTTTTGACAACAAACAAGGTAAACAGAATAAGAAGCAAAAGGTGAGTGTGCCTGAACGACCACACTTCTGCGAACATGGGGGGTGTGGGTTAATATGCTAATGGGCTGTGCTGTCAGGTGTGTGTCCTAATAAGCAAATGAATTTCTGCTGTTGGGTGTGGCCTATTATGCTAATGAGTTCCTGCTGGGCTTTTTTTACAATAAAAGCCCTGACAGCTACCATTAGGAGGAGCACATGGGTCCCTTCTGTTTGGGGGGGAGGAAGGAAGGGAAGTCCTGTCTACCTCACTGGTAGGGGTCTTGGTGCCATGAAGTGACTTAGTAGGGGAAGAACATGATGGTGGATATCAACTCTGCTGTCTCTACCATTCTCTTTGTTTTTAACCTGAGGATTAAAATGATCCCCAAGTTGAAACCTTTCCACAAAAGTCATCTTTTTTCTCCTTCTTTTTGTTATTGGTGTTTCAGGACAGTGAAAATTGACGTGTACGACTGGGACCGCGACGGCAGGTGAGGTGGAGGGTCTCTGCGTGGTCTAGAATCTTCTCTCATTCTGAGGGGCAGCCTTTATGCAGAAAGAGGCGGTAGACCAAGGATTTAGAATGTCTCGATTGTACCACTACATTAGATAGAGGCAAAGTTGTATATTTTAATATTTCCTTGTCTAAAAACCTCCCAGGACATTAACTAGCACATCTGAAAGAGAGTTACACTAAACCTTTCTCCCTTCAGTGTGAAAGTTTTCTACACAGGGGAACATTCAAAAATATCATCACCTGTAGCAGGAGCTAGGGCAGTTGAGAATTCTGCCATCTTATTTGGCATAATGTATAGATTGCCCTGACCTGAATGGCCCAGGCTATATTGGGAAAAGATTGTTGAGAAGTCAGGGTAGCAACTGGAAGCAGTTCCCAGCTGTGGATCCATTCAAACTGTTGTTGGTTAATCTGCTGACTGCCAGTCAAAACTGGAAGTCCTCACCTAAATATGTTAATCAGGATCGTACTTACAGCCTTAAGCAAAGAGAAGAGTCATTGCACATTTATTTGTGGTGCAGTTCTAAAGTGGTGTCAAGTCGCAGCCGATTTAAGGCAAAAGGCATTCAGAGGTGGTTTTTTATTGATAGCTATGTGAAACATTCAATGGGTTAAGTTGCAAAATGTTATAACTTTGGGTTTATTTTACTATAGAATATTGATTGCATTGCTGTTTTTTCATATTTAATAAAAATATATATTTTTTAAAAAGAGGTAGTTTGCCATTGCCTGCCTCTGCATAGTGACTCTGGACTTTCTTGGTGGTCTCCCATCCAAACATTAACCAGGGCCAAGCCTGCTTAGTTTTTGAGGTTTGATAAGATTAGGCTAGCCTGGGCCATTCAGATCAGGACAAATTTATGTTGATGGTATTTTATATTGAGCTTCTTATGTCTTTAGGAAGGGAAAGGATCAGCGCTGGAGGCAGTAGTGGTCATAAAAACGGCCTTTATTGGAACGTAATAGCCAGCTAATAGAACGGGCCATAACTAGGGCTCAGTAACTTTAACTCCTCCTCTAGTTATGGTCACAAGACCTGAGCCCCTCCTTTCTAAATAGCCTCTGGGAGTTGTTCTTAAAGCAAGAATACCAATATATCACAGAACTGAGGCTGAAATTAGCAGGGAGGGTTTGGGGCTGAGAGGCCTGATCCAGGATGTATACATTGGACACATAATGTTTACAAACCATTAGAGAGCATAACAGGCTTAAGAACCACTGAGACAGGTTCTTTATGTCTAGCATAAATGGACAAAATATTTCAGATAAGCAACAGCAAGCCCTGGATGGCCAGGTGGAGAGGGGTATCCTCAGGCGAAACAGAAATGTACGTTTGTGGTGCGTAGGGCTGCCAGGTACTCACCATGAATTGGCAGGGGGTGGGAGGGAGCCTTTCGGGAGTGGGGTGGGGCTCCACCCCCAAACAGCAATGTGATGACATCATGTGGAAGTGACATCATCATGTAGTGGATGTCATTCAGCGATGCTCTGGTTTGAGGGCAAAACTCTGGTAAAATTGCCCTCAAACCATAGAGTTTTGCCCTCAAACCAGAGCATCACCATGTGATGTCCCCCATGTGATGACGTCACTTCCACATAATGTAATCGTGTCGGCAATATCATCGGCAACATTGCTGATTGGGGGCGGGGTTTCCCCGCCGGCCAGCTGGCCACCAGCAGGCAGAAACCCTAAAAAACGGGGGATCCCCCGCCTGGGGAATGGGAACCCTAATGCTGTGGGTGCCCTGAGGACATCTTCTGTCACTCTTTGCAGAACTTTCATTTCTCCCACTCTCCGCTTTCAAGATTCTCTCATGAAAACTGATGCCCCCATAAATGTCCCAGCCTTTAAGGTGCTGTAGGACTCTTTGCTATTTCAAGTCATGATATAGTAAACAGCTTGAATGCCTCAGCTTTTAAAGCCCAGCTGAAAACACGCTCCATGAGCTGGATCAACTTATCCAGCAAAAATGAGGGGGCAGATGGCACTGCCCCACTACCAAGGGCCAGGAGGAAGGGAACGATCCTGCGTTTTGAAGATGTTAAAAAAGCAGGAAGTAGGGTCTGTTCGGGGGACTTGTAGCAAGATACTCTGCAGTGGCCCCCCTCCTAGATTTCTCCCTCAGGTGCCTGGGCAAAGAAACATCTGTGCTGGCTAAGAGGAGCAGCTGTTGCTCACTCACTGGTTTCCCCTACTGGCTGGCAGCTGCTCCTCCTAATAGCCGTCATTTCTTGCTCGGACAAGTGAGCAAACAGCGGCCTGGGGCAGACACGAACTGCCTGTCTTCTGCCTGGCTGTGGAGGAAGGGACAAAATGGAGAAACCATTGCTCCCACCTATGGGAAGGAAGGAGAAAGGGTGGGCAGACTTAGTGTCTCTATGTGAGGACATATCTCTGACTGCCATTACCCAGAGGTCATTGCGGTCACTACTACTGCTCAGTGGTAGGCCCTCCTTAGACCATTCACCTTTGGCACCTACCCAATAGGGTTTCCAGGTCCCCACCTTTCTCTGGCAGGGGGGAGAAGCTCTTCTCCTGGGATCTTCTGGTGCACGCACCACAATGACATTGCCCGGAAGTGACGTCATTGCGCTAGGCACATCAGGGGGACGCAGCTAGAAACTCTATGGTACCATAGAGTTTTCAAGGCGAATGCTAGAGCCCCCCCCCCCCGGCGACATACCCGTTGTGATAATGTCACCTCCAGGTGACGCCATCACGCCGGGTATGTCAGCTCGGTCCAGGAACTTTGGGGGGGGGTTTCCCCTACTGGCCAGATCCGGGCTGGCAGAACAAGGGCTCCTAAAGCAGGCAAACTCCTGCCCCCCCAGGAGACCTGGCAGTCCTACTACCCAAGGTTGTCTACCCCAATGCTGGCCTTGATGGCAAGAAAGGTTTTCATCCAGCTCACTGTCTCCCATGCTAGTTTTCCCCTTGCAAGGAGCCACGTAGCAGTATCCCTTACCTGTGGTCTGAAGCTCACTCCACCAGCATGACCTAAGTATATGTCATGTTTCCCCCAGGTCCTCCCTCAGTCTCTGCAATCAGATGTGTACCTGAATTTCTCACTTCCCAGGTGCATGCAGCTCAATTTGGATTGGGATGGTTGCATGCATGGAGAGGGCGCATATGTCTTCCTGCTGCACCATTTCCCCAAAACAAAATGGCCCCGAGCAAGCACTATTTGCCCTGTGCAGCCCATCAGTGCATGTTCAGTCCTTCGATGGGGCAGATAGTGCTTCCTCCAGACAATTTTGGGTTAGGAATATGGTACAAAAGGGAAGCCCTTTCTCTGCTGCACAACAGTCTGGATCCAAACAGGGTCCACACATCCTTGGGAAACTAGTTCTCATCAGGGTGACAGGTGACTGGAGGCTTACAATTCAGATCCGGCAAACCCCACCACAGCACATCAAATATTGCAAAATGTAGTTTGGCTCTTAGAGAAAGAAGTATCTAGTGTATTGGTGAAGGTGGAGCAGATGGTTCAGATTTGCTAAGGGAGAAGCCCGGATTCTCGAATTCCTGGGCTCCTGCTCAAAGCTCATGCCAAGACGAGACGAGATGACGAGATTGGATTTATACCCCACCCTTCACTACCCAAAGGTGTCTCAGAGCGGCTTACAAACTCCTTTCCTTTCCCCTCCCCACAACAGACACCCTGTGAGGTAGGTGGGGCTGAGAGAACTCTGACAGAAACAGCTCTTTTTTCAAGAACAGCTGTGCCAGAGTTACAGCTTGCCCAAGGTCATCCAGCCAGGTGCAAGTGGAGGAGTGGGGAATCAAACCCGGTTCTCCCAGATTAGAGTCCGCGCACTTGACCGCTACGCCAAACTGGCTCTACACCAAACTGCCATATCCTTTAGCTACCTAAGACTTGCTGTGGGTTCAGATTGCACTGGCACCACCTCTGCTTCTTCCTTCTTTTTCTTTTTGCTCCACAGCCATGATTTCATTGGAGAGTTCGCTACAAGCTACAGGGAGCTCTCCCGGGCCCAGAGCCAGTTCACGGTGTATGAGGTGAGCACCTCTAAACTGAAAATCCATGATCGTTGAGAATCATTCCTTGCCCAACTGATAGTGTATTTTGAATTAGCATGTCTGGCATCTAGTGTGGAATCATATGCATATGTCAGACTTAAGACTTGTAGGTTTCTTTTAAAAAGGCCTGTACTGGTCCATCTGTAGACAGAGAATGTTCAGAGTGGGGAGAGAGAGGTGCTGCAGGAGAGTCGATGAAAATGTTTCCTTCTGACAGTCGCAGGGGGAGTGTTTTCACCCTCTCCCCTCTCCCCACTCCAGCTGTCTGGGATTGAGGGTTGCCATCCTCCAGGTGGGGCCTGGAGTTCCCTGGGAATTACAACTGGTCTCCGGGCCACAGAGATCACTTTCCCTGGAGGAAATGGCAGCTTTGGAGGGTACCATCTATGATATACCATAGATTCTTGGTGAGATTCCTCCCCAAATTCCCCTTTCGTGGGAACTGCCATGAATTTCCCAGACCAGAGCTGGCAACCCTATGTAGTAGGACAATTCCTCTGTACAGGTCCAGAGAGCCCAGGAATGATCTTTCCTTTGGAGGGGCTGCAGGAATGGAGAGGAACGCTGGGAAATCAGTGTTCTGAGCGCAGATGGTAGCATATCAATCTAAGATTCTAGCCTTCATGGCCATGGGGGGGAAACCAGCAAAGGTAGTGGCTGCTAAAGGCCTGACCTTAAGGTATTCTGGAGGTGGCTTCAGGTAGCTAGCGGGAAGGATTAATCTGTTCTTTACATCTTTATGTCATTTGTTTCTATAGTCCACTTAGGAACTGGCTTCTCTGACCAGGTCTTTAGCAGTGATTTCTTCTTGGGGGGGGGGGGGGGGGGAGGGGGGAGAGAGAGAGAGAGAGAGAGAGAGAGAGAGAGAGAGAGAGAGAGAGATTATTTTCTACCCAGTGGGCAGCTCTCACCCCAGGCTTTACTCTCCAGCCACTGCTCACTGGCTACCAATTTCTGAGGACCCCCCAACCCATTCCTCTCCCTCTACCATTTGGTATTTAGGACAAACCCACCCTGAGTAATGTGGCTTTAATAAGCTATTATCGCCACTTTGGGTGATGTTGCACAGTTTAATAAAAGCAGGACAATCGATGTAGCTGGCAAAGCACCCACAGGTCCTGAATGTGCTGATCATGAGTGATGCTTCTGCCTGCCAAAATATGGGGTGTGCCTTGTAGCAAAGTTGAGCCTTAACCCAATGAGCCAGCCAGAAAGGCATTTTCCAGATCTGGGGGAAGGGGTTGAAGACACTACCCTCCTTTGACAAAGCAGTTTGGCGAAGTTGAGAATTGAGTTTTGAAATAGTGGCCAGATGCTGGAGCAAAATTTTGAGAGGAAGGAGTTTTTGGGAGGAGGGAATTTTGAGGGGAAACTGCAATGGCATTGTCATTGCAGTAGATCTTTACACCCTGCTCTTCTCCCCAATGGGGAGACAAGGTGGCTTGCAGCATTGTTCTGTCTTTCTATATTTTTTCTCACAACTGCCTTGTGAAGTAAGTTAGGTTGAAAGAAATCAATAGGACCAAAGTCACCCAGCAACTTTCCATGGAAGTGTGCGGATATGAACCTGGGCCTCTCGTATCTTAGTCTGGTACTCTAGCCACTATGCCGTGCTGGAACCCTTCTAAACTCTGAAAAATATAAGGTGAAAATATAAGGCTGCTGCCAGTTCATAAGGGTGATTTTCCCATTAGAGTTTGTGATAGGACAATGGGTTCCAAACAAATCAAGAAATAATTTAATTCTGATGAAGTTTTGCAAAAGGAGTTTCACGAAACAGCCTTCAATCCAGAGAGGCACGTCACATTCACGTCTTGACAGATTTCAGTCTGAGGCATACAGGTTGCCGTCTACTTTAACTGCAAAATCTCTGCAATGAAAAAAGAGAGTCAACAATAGAGACTGCTTAATCATTATTCTAAGTTGGTTTGTTCCCAGCCTTATGTTCAAAGTTAGGTTAGTTAGGTTTATTTTGTAAAGTTTTGCAAAGAGATTCTCTGACAATTGATTGTGTAAAACAGTCTCTTTAAAGAACAGTGCCGAAGAATACCCACGCCTCTACATTGTATGGTTTTAGCTTGTCCTTGTGGACGTTTTTGCAAACACATCATTAGAGATGGTTTAATTATTATTGTAAGTTAGACTGTTCTTTGCCTTATTATACTCTCAAGGTTAGGTTTGTTTTGTCAATTTTGTATATTTTTGTTAGGGGATTGCTTGGTAATTGACGGTGTAGAACGGTCTCTTTAAATAATAGCACCGAAGAGTGTGCATGCCTTTATAGTGCACGGTTCTACCTTGTCCTTGTGGATGCTTTTGTAAAAACATTTACATCTAATATAATTATGTTTTCGTGTATATCAGGTCTAGGGCCCCATAAAGGGTGTTGCAAGAAACTGACAAAAGAGTGGTTTATGTTTAGAGCTTTATTGACTTTGGTGTTTTTTAATGTTACACTGGAACCCTGGCAGGACTGAGACTAGTCTGAAGTGGAACGCTGAAGCAGACACACGAGGGGCCCATCTGGAGGTAGAGCAGGGGTCCCCACCCAGTATGGTGCTCCATCACCTTTTGTGGCACCCGCCAAGTTTTGGGGCAGTGGGTGGGTTTTGGCCAGCAAGGCTTCTGAATGGCTACTGGAGATTTTATTTGCTATGCAGATTTTTTTTTTAATGGGAAGCTGACAGACTTGAAGGGACACAGAGAAGCCCTTGCCTCGAAGAGACACAGAGAAGCCCTTGACATGAACTAGGGAGTCACAGAAGCAAGACTGGAGCCTGACTTTTGCCCAAGCAAAGAACCACTGCAGACTTGGAAGCATTAGAGCCAGAGCAGGCAGGCTAGAAAGGACTAAATAGGATGGAAATGTGATCAATAGCAAGCAGAATATCCGGCAATTCTGTTCTCCGGTGTCATTCCTTTCTCAAGCAGATCTTCTCACAGATGGCCAGGATATGTAATGTAAGAAGCTGTTCACCATCTAGTAGTAACGGTTTCGTGGTTAAGGAATGCACATGCATTCAGGGGGAGCCAGGGCCTTATGTACAGCATTATAATGTACAACATCCCCTCAAAATGATGCGATGTTATCTCAGTATCTTGTGACTTGAAAATATGTTTTTCTTCCCCTGGTATGTCCCCTGGAGAGCATTTCGCTCAGGAGACAAACACCTACTGGAAGTCCCTGGTTCAAGGAGTGCTTTTCACCCCCTCTCCCCCTATTGCTTATGTAAATTGGGGGGTCAGAAAGTTGTATTATGGCACCATGTAGGTTTTATGTTATTGGGATTTTCAATTGTTTAATGTATTTGATTCGAATTTGTTGTGCACCGCCCTGAGCCTGCTTGTGGAGAGGGCGGTATAGAAGTGTAATGAAATAAATAAATAAAGCTGCAGGTACCACAAAGTGGTGTGGTGGTTTGAGTGCTGGCAAGAGTTGAGTTCAAATCTCCATCTTGCCATAAAGCTCAATGGATGACCTTGGGTCAGTCATACTTGCTGCCTAACCCACCTCATAGGGTTGTTGTGAGGATAAATTCTCAAAGGGAGAACCATGTATGCTGCTTTGAGTTCCTTGAAGGAAGGGTGAAATAAACAGGAGACAGACAGATGGACAGACAATGGTTAAAATGTGGTAGGCACACCAGATTGCAGGCTTATAGACAAAGAAACGGGCTGAAAGTAAACCGGGACCCTGTCAGAATCTTTCACCTGCTGCATTGTGTAATAGAACATGCGGTTGATGTTTCAATGGGTTGTGGTAAGAAGTAGACAATATTGTCTTTTGTAGTACTTGTATTGATACAGATAACAAGGATTATATGTAATATAAGTTCTATTGAGCACCATTACTTTATTAATTAAGTAAATAAATTAGCAGTCCCCAGCTTTTACGAAAAGGTGGATATCCCTGCCTTTGTGGAAGAGGCAGGATTGGATGTGTGATTCCTGGGATGAGAAGATGGGGGCTGTGGAACTGAGTTAGGGGTTGCCCATAGAAGTAACACTGGTAATGGCGGGTTAAGACACAAAATGATGGCTGTGACTCAGGACTGGAGAAGACTCAGCTATCCCTTCTGCTCCAACACTAGGTTTTGAATCCTAGGAAGAAATGCAAGAAAAAGAAATATGTTAACTCGGGCACTGTGAGTATAATTTCCCCCCCTCCTTCCTGCCACCCCTCCCTCTATTACTTGAGAGCCAATATTGTCCCTTTTCTGAAATGCTTGGCTTGAACCAATAAGACCAGCACTTGTAGCACAGTATTCAGCAAGCCTCAGTTTTCCTACCTGTTAAAATGGTACTGGTACAGCCTTCCTCACAGGGCTGTGTACGAATGAGTGAAATAAGGAGGCGTACTCAAGGCTATTTGGGGATTAGGTTATAGCCCTTAGCATCTCTTTGGGGATACTATTGTGCTCAAAATCAGGGTGGTAAAAGAGTGATTTAAAAGGAATGGAGTGGAGATTCGGATTGGTTTTATAGTGATTGTAGGTACTGAATCAAGATGTGGTAGTTAATCTGGATTAGTCAGAGCAGAGCATACCTATGAAACACAAACAGCAAAACCATTCTATAAATGGATATGTCCATATAAAAGTTCAGTATGTCTAGGAGTACACAGGTTTAATGTGAGCTGATCTTGTATCAAAGTAAACTGAACTTGAATACAGGTTGCGTCTGAGTCCCCACACTGTGTCAGACATAACATAGTCACACATGAGTTGTGGGTTCTCCTTAGTTCTTGGTTCCCCATCAAGATGATGGGGCATGTGGGAAAAGGGCTTCTTCCTTCTCTCCTAAATGCTTTTCCCAACCTAAAACAAGCCTGAGTTGTACTTATTAAAACATTTGTATTCTGCCTTCTTCATGGTCCAAGGCAGTTTGCAGTGTGAAAAAACATGTGGGTTTCCCCAACATGCCCCACTGCAACCCTAGGGCTGTTTCAGGCAGGGAAAAGTATGCATGCAAGGAGGATGCTCAAACCACTTCTCCATGTACCATGGTCCTGATCCTCATCAAGCACCTCACATGCAGGAATTGAGAACCCACCACTCACGTGTGACTGTATTACATCTGACACAGGTCGGGGTCCCCTGCCCAAACTGTGTGGTGAGTAATCTGATGTGTGGTCACATTTTTATATGACTAGGCGGGCCCGTAGCCATGGTGGGACATTTAGGGGCAGAGCCCCACCACCCACGAGCCCTGCCCCACCACCAGATAATGCCAGATACCCCCACCCCAAGTGCACCTAGCCCCGCAGCAGCGGTGAGGCTGGAGAAAGAAAGGGAAGCTGCTCTGCAGCTTCCGGTCAGCTTCACTCCCTGTGGATCAGCTGTTAGGTTTAACAGCTGAAAGGAGGGGAGTGAAACTGACCGGAAGCAGCATGGCAGCTTTCCTTCCCCAGCCTCCCTGCTGCTGGGGGGCAGGCTGGGGAAGGAGAGAGGGGGGGCATGGTGATGGTGGTGGTGGTGGTGGGGAAGCCAGTCTTTCTCTCTCCCATAACTTTCCATTGCCGGGGGGGGGGAGTGGGTTTTTTTGGTGATGTGGGGGAAACCAATCTCTCTCTCCTGGACTTGCCAATTTCCAGGTGGTGGCTGGAGATCCCCTGTCATTACACCAGATCTCCAGGTGGCCTTTATGGCATTGTATTCCATTGGAGTCCCTCCCCTCCCCAAACCTTGTGCTCCTCAGGCTCCACTCTCAAATATCTCCAGTTATTTATTATTTTTAAGTCTAAGTATAAGCATAATGGATGCCCCACAAGAGAACTAATTTCCCCCATAGAACGAAAAATCCTGGCTACGGCCCTGTGACTAGGAGACAGATGGAGCTGCATAGCTGTAGGGCGCATATAGTGTATCAGGGTGGCACCAGAGGCTGCCCCCCTTCGGCAGTGTGGTAGTTCTATTTGAAAGCTGCTCTTCCAACTGGAGGAGGAAATAGAAGAAAAGTGTTCCTTGGGCTGGGTTTGAGTCTCCCGGATGTGGCTGGGAAGTAAGGAGAGGCAGGCACTGCAGGGGAGGAAAGGAGGATGGGGGGGGGGGCTTGGACTGCAAGAAGCTCAAATCAGTCAACCCTAAAAGAACTCAACCCTGACTGTTCCCTGGAAGGCCAGATAATGAAACTGAAGCTCAACTACTTTGGCCACCAAATGAAAAGGGAGCACTCATTGGAGAAGACCCTGATGCTGGGAAAGATTGAAGGTCAAAGAAGACGGGGACGGCAAAGGATGAGATGGTTAGACAGTGTCATAGATGCAATGAACATGAAATTGAGTCAACTTCAGAGGACGGCGGAAAACAGGAGGGCCTGGCGTGATCTGGTCCATGGGGTCGTGCGACTGAACAACAACAAATACAACCTTTGCAAGTGAACAACAACAAATATAGCCTTTGCAAGTTTCTGCCATAGAAATTGATCCAATTTGCTTCTGGTAACAGGAAGTGAAATCACCTCCCCCTACACACCCAAACAAATGAACAAAAAATGATCTCTGGAAAGAAAAAGCCCTTCTGAATCCCCATCTCTGTTACGCTGCTCCATACCTGATCCCAAACTTGCCTCCCTCCCTGTCCATGACTATCTTGTCCGCCATCTCTCACAAGACATCTTTCCTGTCTGTCTTTTCTCTCCAGGTGACCCTTCTGTCGTTTACGGTGCAGTCCGAATTCACCTTTGTCGATTATATTCGAGGCGGGTGCGTCAGTGGCAAAGCCTGGCTCTGCTTCCTAGGTCCCTGACTCCCTGCACCCACAATCCTGGGCCAGCTTCTTCTTGGCTTCTGAGGGAGGGGGAGTACAGACAGCGGGCTGAGGGGGGCTTTGGCCACAGGCAGGGAGGCAAAACAAAATGGTGTTTGAAGCACTGAGTTGTTATATGCCAGGGGAGATGTTCTGAGGGAATAGTTATAAGTGGAGAGGGCCTGTGATGTTTTAGGTTCCTGACAGGAGACCCTGTGATATTGGTGATATTTACAGGGTGGCAGCACAAGGGAGGAGACAGTTGGGAGTGTTTGAGGGGACTGGCAAGGATGGCGGCATCTATTTCTCTCTCTTTCTCTCCTCTCTACCCCCACCCCCTAGGACACAGTTGAATTTCACAGTCGCCATTGATTTCACGGCCTCCAACGGTGAGTGCAGCACACCAGTGAGTCGCTATGGGAACCGAGTGACAGCTTAGCTGCTGGTAACCAGGCAGCCAAGGACCCTTGGCCAGAAGCAGAGACCTTTAAGCAGCTACCCCTGGGTTTGAGGCAGTGCCTCCCTTCCAACAATCTGGGAGTAGGAAACCACACTGGAATTGTGTGTGTGTGTGGGGGGGGGGAGGTCGCCCTCCGTCCCACTGTCCTGGGAACCGGGGAGGCGAGGAATGGACCTAGGGTGACCAGCCATGGGTGACCCAAAGAGAAAAAGAGCCCTCAACAAATTAGAAGGGACAGATTTTTCACAAGATTTGTTGATGCTAATTTACACGCATTTACATGTAATTACTATAATTTAAATAGAAATACAGCTCACCGTAGTGCCAGCTGTGTCTGAGGCAGCACGCAGAGCTTTCTTCCTTGACTGACAACCTGTCACTCAAATGTTTCGAAAAGTTTATTTTTTTTAAAAAAAAAGCTTCAGCCAGTTCTAGTGGACAGAAGCAGAACCCAGATATTTCAGAGGGCAGATCTCATAAAAGAAGACTGCCCTCTGAAACAGAGGACATCTGCCCACCCCTCAGTGGAGCTGTTGAAAAAGAATATGGAGGCACTGAGAGCCAATGGCTGGAAAGAAGGATTAGAGGGAGTCATGGTGAGAAATCATCAGGTTCTGTGGGGACAGTCAAGCCCATGTCAAAGGAGTGTCGGTGCTTGCTAAGGTGAAGGGTGGTTTCTGTTGTTTAGTTGTTTTTCTGAATGGTTTCCCAGTGTTCTGTGTCCTGGATGTGGGAAGGCAAAATTGTAAGGGGTGTGTAAGGTTCCCAAAACCTCACAGGTGAGCTCTGACTCGCGCATGTTGATACTGAAATAAATGATCTGAAAAGTGCCACTGGACTGTTTTCTTTTCCTTCACACAGGGAATCCCTCACAGCCCACCTCCCTCCATTACATGAGCCCATACCAGCTCAGCTCCTACGCCATGGCATTGAAGGCAGTTGGCGAGATCATCCAGGATTATGACAGTGACAAACTCTTCCCCGCCTACGGCTTTGGAGCCAAAGTCCCTCCAGATGGCAAAGTGTCCCACCAGTTCCCTTTGGTAGGTATGGGCTTTCCTTGGCAAGGGGAGGGGCTGTAGTGATTGAACAGCTGCTTTGCATGCATTTGGTCCCAAGTTCACTCCCTGAGACATCTTCATTTAAAAAGACCTCAAGTAATAGGCCTGGGAGAGGCCTCTATCCCAGATCCTGAAAATGGTGTCAGTCAAGGTAGTCAGCAGTCGGTTAGAGGAACCATTGGTCCAATCTATTATAGTGCAGCATCTTATGGAATCATTTTTTTGTAGAACTCTCTGCGGATCTTTCTTGCAACAGAGTGGTGTCTCAGGATGTGTTCTGGATATCAGGACTTATCCTTGGCCATTATTCAGTCAGCTTGGATGTTATTGTTTTCCCAATTGGTTATTACTGTATTGTCATAGTAACATCTTGCAGATCAGACAGAGTAAGAAAAGGGAAAAAGCTTGTTACTGTTAATTTTATTTGTCACTACAAAACACGCTCTCAATTAATTTTGCAGCTCTACAAATAACAAACATGTCATAATTAGACATCAAAGACACACTCTTCTGAAGATCACGAGTATTAATGAACTCCAGTAGAAATATCCTTTCGCTTGGTTCAGTGTGAAGGAAGCACCCACTTTTCTGGTCTTTTACCTTTCCTTTCATTCTTATTCTCCTTTGACCAAAGGTCTTGAGCAAAGTCAAAACAATCTGGTCTTTTAGTGTGTTGGGTGGGGGTGGGGGGCCGTTAGGACTAGCATGGACAATAGGCTGCAAGGCTTAACTGGTGCCAGGACTCAATGATTTCAAAGCTGAGGTTCATCTCTGAAACTCAAGAGAGTGACCCAGAGCATGTACAGAGTGATTTCCTCTCAGCAAATAAGTAACCACAGCTGTAGGCTCTGAGGCTGGTGGGAAAGGCTGCTAGCTCAAATGGTTTGGCTTCCAAGCTATCATAAGCCTTGGCACCTGATTTCTTGAGCCTCTCTGTCTTTAAGTTAACACCAACAGAGTCAAGTTGAAGGAACAATTCCAATACTCAGTCATTTGCTGTTTGTGGCCTTTATAACTGGCAGAGGCATGGAGACATTTGTGTGGCTGAGATCATGCAAGTGCAGCCGCAAAACAGGATCTTTTGTCAGAGCCCTGAGAATTTTTTTTAAAGTTTCTAGTCCTCATTTTCTTTTTAGAAATGCAAGTAATTTTCTCTGACAAGGGCTTAGAAAAGTGTCCCACATGTGACACTTGTGTGGGTGCGTACACATAAACCACACATGACATCGGTACCTCCGGAGGCTTCCCTGTCCTGCTTGCTGACTCTGCACCATTCTCTCCCCAGAACCACAATCCGGATAACCCCAGCTGCGTGGGCATCGAGGGAGTGCTGGAATCCTATTTCCAAAGCTTGCGTACCGTGCAGCTATACGGACCCACCAACTTTGCACCTGTCATCAATCAGGTTGCCCAGTAAGTGGGGAGTGGGGAAATAAGGCCAGATAAAATCTCTCTTCCTGACTGGCTCTGAGCCCCTAAACTCTGGGCTGACGTTTCTGAAGGTCTGCTGGTGTGTAGCCAGCAAAATGTCAGTGGAGTTTCATTACAAAGTCAGCCATGTTCTGTTTATGCAAGGATCACTGTGGTCAGTATTTGGATGGGAGACTCCCAAGGAAGTCCAGGGTCGCTACACAGAGGCAAGCAATGGCAAACCACCTCTGAACATCTCTTACCTTGAAAACCCTCTGGGGTCACGATTGGTTGGCTGCAACTTGATGGCAAAAAAAAAAAGATTGCATGGTTTTTGTGCAACTAGAAGTGCTTATCACATCCTGCTTTTTGAAAATGCATTTGTTAGCGACATTATTACCACATTTGTCAGTTAAAATGATTGCACGGGCATACATTTAGGCTTACCTTCTGTGGCTCAGACTATACCTTCCGCCAGCAGAAATAGATGATTGGACACAATGAGGTCTTTCCTGGCACAACAGCTTACTGTAACTTTAAAAAAAAAAATGAAACAAAAAATCAGTTCCACTAACTTAATAGCCTTGACATTAGCAGAACTAGACTGTCACATACCTGCTGAGATTTATGTTTGAAATGGCCCAAAGCAGCTTCAGGCGACAAGCAAGTAGAAGATCTAACCAGTCATCCTGATTTCTCAGAACAGCTCAGCACCCCACAAGCATATTACCTGCCCTCCCGTGCCCCATCAGAAATCAGCTTGTTTGCTCCTGAGCTAGAGGGGACTCCTTTGCCCTTTAATTATTACGTACATAGCTACTTGGTAGCTATTAGAGAGCTTTTTTTTTTGCATAATTTAAGACCTTGGAGTGACTCAGTGAAATTGACTAGCAGTAGATTAATCAAAGACAAAATAAACAATTTCTTTGCCTATTTTACATTAGGGAATTCACTACCATAAGGTGTGCTGATAAAGTATATGGCCTTTTTTTATTAAAGGACTAGATGGATTCATGGAGGATTAGTCTATCAAGAGCCCTGGTGGCAAAATGGAACCTCCATATTCAAAAGCAGTATAGCTACAAACACCAGGTCTCTTGGACAAACAGGGGAGGGCTCTTGTCTTTGTGTCCTGAAAGCATCCTAGAAGTATCTGGATGGCCAGTGCTGGGGAAAGGATGCCGGGCTGAACGGATTTCTAATCTGTAGACTGAAAAGTCCCCCGTTCAGATCTTGCCTCTGCCACAAACTCAGCAGGGGGCCTTAGCCCTGCCAATCTCATTCCATCTTGTCCCCCCCCCCCCTTTGCAAGATGACAATAACAAGACCTGCCTTACTGGGCTGTTGTAAGGAAACGCTGAAATGACCTTTGGGCCCTTTCCACTCTTCCACAGGTCAGCTGGTGAGGTTAGCGATGGATCACAGTATTACGTCCTCCTCATCATCACAGACGGAGTCATCTCTGACATGCTCCAAACGAAGGAGGCCATTGTGGCTGTGAGTCGGGTCCTTCTCTCGGCACATTGGGAGGCAAGAACAGCCTCTAGGCTTAGGGGAGTGCAGGAGAGCTCTGGGTGTTACCTTCTAAGCCACACGGGGCAGCTCAGCAATCTCCCTCTTCCCAAAACTGACTTGCACGACAGCAGTCAAGGAAGGTCCCCTTTGTGACCTCTTCCTGTCAGGCTGCCAAGAGGGGGGTGCTGGTAGGGAACAAAATCCCAAGGGTACTGGTCACCCTGAAGCCCATGGAGTTGGGTAAATCATTTGATGTTGGGGTTGGGTCTGAGTGGTGTGACGTGGGGGTCCAGAGGGTTGGGGGGGGGGGTTACATAGCTCTCATAAGTCCCATCCCCTGCTAGATTCTGGGGGGAAAGTACCTTTTTTTGAAAGGATCCATTAATGAATGCAGGTATTCAGCGCTAAGCCTGGGAGATATTGGTTTATCCCACTGAATCAAGAAACAATTTTTAACCCTCTCTCTACTAAGGGCAGATCAAGTCCTGTTCTTTGTCCATTAAACTATCCTGGCTCCCATTATTACAAGAGAAACATACTGGTATGTGTTACTGAGGGGCTGTGGCAGGGGGCAGGCAGTCCCAGGTTCAATCCCTGGCATTTCCCATTAAAAGGATCAGGTAGTAGGTGATGTGAAAGATCTCTGTCCAAGATCCTGGGGCTGCCCAGGACAGACAGTATTAACCTGGATAGAAAGGCAGCTTTCATGTTAATGTGCACTGCATAAGCCAGTTTGGAGTAGTGGTTAAGTGAGCGGACTCTAACCTGGGGGAACCAGGTTTGATTCCCCACTCCTCCACTTGCACCTGCTGGATGACCATAGTTCTGTCAGAGCTGTCCTTGAAAGGGTAGTTTCTGTCAGAGGTCTCTCAGCCCCACCTACCTCACAGGGTGTCTGTTGTGGGGAGGAGAAGGGAAAGGAATTTGTAAGCTGCTCTGAGACTCCGAGTGAAGGGCGGGGTATAAATCCAATCTCCTCCTCCTCTTCCTTCTCCTCTTTTTCTTCTTCCTCTTTGTCTTCTTCTTCTCCTCTTTGAGTTGTATTCCCTGGTCCCACTGGGCTCCTTGCTCTCTATGGCCTGGCATGTGGAGAGATCTATGTTCACTCAAAGTCTGTCAGCCTGTCAGTTAACAATAGACTTCCACACAGGATTGTTGTGATAGTAAAATTTGGTACCGTAATTTGTCCTTGGGATGGAGCAGGAAGGAAATGTAGATACCTGAATAACGAAACCCACTGATTGACAATTGGAGGGGACATAATGTGGCAGGCAGATATGTAACTGGCTAAGCTAACACATTGGCAAATGTGGAACTGTTATCACCAACCTCACGGCTTTATAGCGGAGTGTCTTAACAGAGCTATAGCATGGCTGACTGGAATATGGGCTGAAATTAAGATGACGCCACCCCATATAAGGAGGCAGGATCAGAGTAGCTTGACTTGCGCAGTGGGGAAGTAACAGGTTATTTACTTGTTTATATCTATACTCTGTCGTTCATCGTTATCTGTTCTACTCAGGAACAGGGGTGTACGTACATGTTTGTGAAACAGGAAGACATTGTGCAGGGTGCCGCTCAGGCAATAATGTTTTCCCCCACACACAGGCTTCTTCTTTGCCCATGTCCATCATCATTGTGGGAGTTGGCCCTGCTGATTTTTTGGGTAAGTTTTGACCTTATCTAGATACACTACAAATCCAGAATGGGTGAACCAAGGCAACTGTCTTGCTGCTTTGATGCGCCTATAGGGTGACCTGGTATCACAGCAGGTAGCCCCCACTCTGGCACTTTGCGCCCATGTGCCAAAGCACCAGTCGGCCATGTGGCCAAATAAGTCCACCTGACTGTGGAGACCCATCCACTGGAGCTGATGCTTTGTCTCCTGTCTGTGCTTCCTGGATCCCAGAGCACATGCAGGCGTTAGTGCTCTGAAACGAACCCTATTGTTGGGGGAGGGCGGCGGCAGAGCCAGGAGAGTGGCAGCAGACCTTAGCCTTACGATTGTGTCATCCACAGCCATGGAAGAGCTAGATGGAGATGAGGTGCGAGTCTCCTCCAGGGGGCGCTACGCAGAGAGAGACATTGTGCAGGTAACGCTTCCAGGTGATGTGCGGGGACAGGGGTTCACCAGAAGAGGTTCGTGCAGGTTGTTTCCTGGGCTTCTTTCTCTTTAGGCTTGTTGACCGTTGGAGGCCACCTGAAGCGTGAGATGCTAGGGCTCTTAATTCTTAATAATAATACAATTTATTTATTTAGCAAATGTGTATGCTGCCTTTCCGGACCTGTTTGAGGTGGCTCACAACCAAAACAATAGGACGAATAAAGAGAAACAATTAAAACTAGTCAATAAAAAAGCAATACAATGAATAAATAAAATCAGGTTGATTTAAAAAAAAAAGTCAGGGCATAGAAGCACATAAAACAAACACAGCAGTCTGAAATGATGTTGATACGACTATTGTGGTTATGGGCAAGAGTCCTGATGATCTCATGACCTCAGGGAGACCCTTCAGTATTCATTGCCAGGCGTCGGGATGGGAAGAGAGAGGATATTTTCCCTTGATTTCCTTTCATTCATCGGTTTCTTTACTCAGCTATTTGGGTAATATCTGCTAAAATGATAGTAAAGACTCTACAATAACTGCCCATCTTTCAAAGTCCCAAAGAGATGACAGGGATGCAGAGATTTCTGCCCCTGGCTATACCTGTCACCCTTAATACTGATAAGAGGCACACCCATCTTGAATATATATAAATATACGCAGGGGTCATTTGGGGGGGGGACGCGGGGGGACGCCATCCCCCCGGGTGAGGTGCGGGAGGGCGGGGCCTGGAGCTCCCTGCTGGTGCCCGCTGGAGGTCGCCGCCGGCTGTGGGGAGGACACACTTCCGGTGATGTCAGGGGGTGTGGCATATGCTAATGAGTTATGCTAATGAGTCCCCCTAGCTCTTTTTCTACGAAATGACCCCTGAATATACGTATTCCTAGCTTGAAAAGAGAGGATTGAAAAAGTGACCAGCTTGTTGAAACTGTTCTGTTTAAGCAGTGACGAACCTAAACTGATTGAGTGGACACTAAGCTAATGGCAAGCCTCCTCTAATCTTAACTGATTCTTGCAAATAACTTGCATGGCAGCTGAGCTGTTGTTTTGCTTGGCTGTTGTTTTACTTACGTGGATGTCTAGTAGGTTTAGGAAACGTGAATGAAAATACTTCGCAGTACTTGAGAGGGAGGTGACCCGAACAAGAACATACTTCAGAGGTAGCAGAAAGTGTAGGATCCAGGCCTAACACTTTTGCCCACAGGGTCGGCTCACTCACTAGGCGATCGCCTAGAGCGGGACGGCCCTTAGGGGCACCAAACTGCACCCGGCCCCGTACTCTGGGAGTTTCTTGATTATTTGTGTTTTTTATTCTTCCTAAAATGCATTTATTTTTGAAAATTGGTGGGCGCACCGGGGGGGGGGGGCAGAAGGGATCATCGCCTAGGGTGCAAAATAAGCTGGAGCCAGCCCTGTTTGCCCAAATAGATGGTTGGGAGAGCTGGGTTCAGTCTGTTGTCTGCCAGCTGCCATTGACACCAAGGTGTGTTGGGATGGATCGGGGAAAGATGGATGGATCTAATGTAGCACTTACCTCACTTAACATTTCTCTGACTTTCCTGCTGTTACAGTTTGTGCCCTTCCGAGACTACATTGATCACTCAGGGAACCAGGTGTTAAGCATGGCGCGCCTGGCTAAGGATGTGTTAGCCGAAGTCCCCGAGCAGCTCCTCTCCTATATGAAAATGTACGACATCAAGCCCCTTTCCTCCAGTTCACAGTAGCTCCGCCCTCTGTGCAGCCTGAGCCAATGGAATGCTTCCGCTCCAACTGGGACTGAGATGACCCTTACTGGTTGGGGCAACATGGGCTGTTTCCACTCTTGCATTCAGAGCCGGCTAGATCCTGGGGGAGGGGATATCTCTGCGGGGAGGCAGGTAGGCTACGGACTGCATGCCTCACACGGGGCCAAGACACCAGCACGGAAAAGCATGAGCCCACCCAGAATCTCAAAGGGATGACTCCAAAAAGCAGCCCCAGCGACGGACGTCAGTGGACTTGAAGGAAGGCTTGGAAGGACCCGGGTATCTTGCTGGGGCCTCGGGGTGGTGTTTCCATCAGGCCAAATTTGCTAAATAAGGTGCCATTTAGCTCTGTTTTGCCTGGATATTGAAAATAAAACCATCCTTGGTCCTAGGAACTCCAGCTTATGTTTTTTTTTTTGTTGCTGCCGAGACCCTGCTGGTTGAAAGATCAAGATGCTGCCAATGCCAGGTGAAACTTAGCACAGATCTCTTCTTTAGATTTGGATCCAGGAGCACCTTAGAGACCAACAAGAGTATCAGGGTAGAAGCTTTCAAGTCAAAACTCCCTTCATCAGATACAAGTTGGAATGGAGGTCCCTGAGTCCTTATATCCCAGTCAGGATTCAGAGACCTCCATTGCGACTTGTGTCTAACGAAGGGAGCTATGACTCTCGAAAGCGTACACCCTGGAACTCTTGTTGGTCTCTAAGCTGCTACCGGACTCAGATCTAACTGTTTTACTGCAAACCAACACAGCTACCCTCTGAAGCAATCTTCTTTAGATTTTTTTAAAAATGTTTTTAAAAGAATTGCTTTGCAGAACAGCCTTCAACGAGAAATGCCGCATTTTTTTTCAAGATGCAAATTGGAGGAGGCTCTTGGGAATTCCTGACAAGAGCTTCCTGCACTGGAAGGAAAGGTGGAGTGGAAACGTGGCTATTTCGTTGTCATGTAACAAAGAGCAGAGCTTTGGATGAAAGCGTCTGGGTTCACTGCGCCGTGTTATTGCTTGCAACTGCACACAGCAGATGTTGTGTTTTTCTTTCAACAAAAATAGTCTTTACTATCCTTATGGTGGGGGGGAAAGTGTCATGTTATAACTCTGTCTCGTCAGATCTCAGAAGCTACTAAGCAAGGTCGGTACTCAGAAAGGAGACCACCAAGGAAGGCTCTGCACAGGAAGGCAATGGCAAACCACCTCCGCTTCTCACTTGCCTTGAAAGTGCATTGCTGGGATTGCTATAGGTCGACGGTGACTTGACAGCACCACACACACACACACACACACACACACACACACACACACACACACACCAATCCAAATGGGCTGAGCCTTCCAGGAACTGTACCTTTTACACAAGGGATCTGGCTTGCCAAGCCAACTCTGAGTGTGCAACCTTAATCAGAGACTCGCCCTTCTGAAGTCCATTGAAGACAGTGGGCTTGAGAGGTGCAACTCTTCTGTTTAGGATTGCCCAGTTAGGGGAAAGCATCCCAGTTTGACAGGAAGCTAACATTCTCACTTGCAGAGAGGGCAGAGGGTAGGTGTGAAACACTGGCATGTGCGTTTTCCTTCCCTTTTTCTCCAGATCCTCCAGTGGGGGAGGGAAGGGGACTCTGCTTTTGAACACAGCACATGCACACAGGGAAGGAGGAGGGAGAAATTGGATTTATACTCCGCCCTTCACCACCCAAAGGAGTCTCAGAGCACTTTACAATCTCCTTTCCCCTCCCCTCCCCACAACACACACCCTATGAGGTAGGTGGGGCTGAGAGAGCTCATTCGAGAACTGCCCATGAGAGAACAGCTCTGAAAGAACATATGACTGACCCAAGGTCACGCCAGCAGCTGCATGTGGAGGAGTGGGGAATCAAACCCAGTTCTCCCAGATTAGAGTCCACGCTCCTAACCACCACACCAAACTGGCTCTCAAGGAGACCGAACCTTTACCTCCCCCGTGCTTTATTGTGCTGCAGTTGGCTGATTTCATCCCCCCACCCACCCATTTCAGCTAGGGTGGCCGGGTTCCCCTTGGCCACTGGCAGGGGGTTGAGAAGTAGGGTTGCCAGATCCAGGCTGGGAAACTCCTGGAGATTTGGGAGGTGGAGCCTGGGGAGGACAGGGGCCTAAGTGGAGTACAATGGCCATAAGAGTCCACCCTCCCAAGCATCCATTTTCTCCAGAGGAACTGATCTCTGTAGTCTGGAGATGAGCTGTAATCCGGGGGGGATCCCCTGGAGGCTGGCATCCCTAAGTTCAGCTGGTTTCCAGTATCAGCACCGGGTGCAGAGAAAAATCATCACATGGATCAGCTGAGCACAGTAAAGCAAGGCACAGGTGAGGGCAGATTTCCACTTACCAACCTTCGTGTTGATGCTCTTCTTTTTCAAAACAGATACCCTGCAATTTCTGTACATGTGAACCAGCAGACCTGTTCAAAAATACACAATTGCCTAGTGTGGGCCTCTCCTCTAACTCATACCATGGTCGTCATACAAGCTGCCTGCCAATACTGCCTTTAGAAAAAAATTAAAATATTCAGAGATCTTGGCATCTTCATCATTCTTAGAGGGAGATCTCAGATCCTTCTTTATTGCGGATCTCTTGCAGTCTCATTTTGTTTGGCACTAGTCACATGAAACACACATGGACAGGTCCAGCGCACTTGGGAGTTGGGGGGCGGAAGCATTTGCGACTGGTCTCACCTCATCGGCCTATAGGACAGCACAACAACAACCCTGACATTGGGCTGACACCAGTAGAGTTGGCAGTCTTCAGGTGGGACCTGGAGATCTCCCAGAATTACAACTGATCTCTACACTATGGGGGTCAGTTCCCCTAGAGAAAATGACTGCTTTGAAGGGTGCACTCTATAGCAGGGGTGTCAAACATGTGGCCCAGGGGCCGGATCAGGCCCCCCAGAGGGCTTCCATCAAGCCCGCAGTGGCCATCTCCTGCTTCCAGTTCTGCTGCTGCTGCATCATTGCTTGCTTTGCCAGACTCTCTTAATCACTCAGCCATTTCCTGTTTTAACCTGGGTCCTAGACTCAGAACTCTGAGCATGAGATTTCTGTGGTGAATGTCAATAAATCAAAAGTAGGTTTGCAGCATGTCTTTATTTTAAGTAAAAAAAGGAAATCTTTGTGTTTGTGTCCTTTATAAAGTTTATATCTCCGCTACCTGGCATTACATTTTAAGACACACATGGCCTGGCCCAACAAGGTCTCATTTATGTCAGATCTGGCCCTCATAACAAATGAGCTCGACACCCCTGCTCTATAGCATCCTACCCTGCCCAGGTTCCTCCCCACCCCACATCTCGCCCTCCTCAGGCTCTACACCCAAATCTCCAGGCTTTTCCCAACCTGGAGACCAAGCCTCCCTTCCCAGCTAGCTGTCTTATCCCCCCCCCCCCGCCGCCATATCTCCAGCTCTAAACTTCTTTGAACGGTCTCTCCAGGAGGGCTATTTCTCCTGCAGTGGAAGCAGCCGCCCACCTAGCCTGCGAGGGGGTCCCAGTTGCTAGAAGCCGGCAAGCAGATGGGAAGGCAGTCTTCCCCGCCACGGGGGCCTGTGGCCTACTTCGGTCGCCGCTCATGAAAGGGAAAAGCACGGCCCAGGGGCTGATCCTGTGTGAATAAAACATGCCACAGCAGCAGCTGGCAGGATGCCTCCTCCGCCTCATTTGATACGGCAGGAGGGCTGGCCCAGGCAGCCCCGATGGCTTCAAAGGAGCTCCTCACTGCATTCTCCACCCCCACCCCAATCACTTGAGCTTTTTTGCATAAGAAACTCCAGTTCACTTAGGGAGGGGCCGGATTCCTGGGCAGCCTCTCAAGGCAGACAGGCTGTTAAATTTTAGGAGCAGATGGCCTTGGCAGTGCCAGCCTCTTGGGCATAGGTAGGAGACAGAGTGAGGGATCTTGGCGACCAAGTCCACTTTCCTCTTCGTATCCTCCCCTCCATTTCTCCCTAGCACACCACATCCGCTCTTCTTACCTGAAATCCTAACTGAGCCTGAGGATCTGGACTTTTGAGCAGCACAATGGGTATGCCACATGCTATGGAATGGGGCAGAATCCATCAACAAATTTCTAGCTCTCATGGTGGCAGCGGAAAACTCAGGCAGGCTCTGCTTAATGCTAATAGCACACATACGCAGGGAGCTGTCTTGCACTGAATGAGACCTTTGGCCCAGGTAAGATCAATGTTGTCTGGTCAGAATGGCTGAGGCTCTCCAGAGTCTCAGGCAGAGGTCTTTCACGTCACCTACTGCCAGATCCTTTTAACTGGAGATGCTGAGAATTGGACCTGGGACCTTCCGCAAGCTAAGCGGAAGCTCTGCTACTGAGCCACAGCCCTTGATGCAGAATATATGGCACTGCCTCATAACTCTGCCTAATCCAGTACTGCCTGACTGGAAGCTGCTCTCCGGGGTCTGTTTCCCCGCATCGGACAGCCATTCATCTGGAGATCCTGGGGAATGATTGAACCTGGACCATATGCATGCAAAGCGTGCTCAACCAGTGAACTATAGCCTCTTGCCACTAGCTGAATTATAAGCAATTCACATAATATGTTGCACCCATATAATATATTTCCTGGAAGGGCAACTTACCCTGTACGCACCAAAGGGCAGAACCAACAGCATCACCAGAGAAGAGGCTTAAGAACACAGGAAGTGCCCTGCTGGATCAGACCCTGGCCAGCATCCTGTCTCACACAGTGGCCAACCAGTTCCTCAGGAAGGCCAACCAACAACAGGGCATAGAGGCCGAGGCCTTCCCCTGACGTTGCCTCCTGGCTCTGGGGATCAGAGGTTTGGGGTCTCTGAATGTGGAGGTTCCCATCGGTCACCATGGCTAGCAGCCACTGATAAACCTCTCCTCCATAAAGCGATCTAAACCCCCCTTTAAAGCTGTCTATTCCTGTGGCCATACACCAGTTTGGTGTAGTGGTTAAGTGCGTGGACTCTAAT